ACATATGTATATATATGTATATATATGTATATATATGTATATATATGTATATATATGTATATATATGTTATATATATATATATATATATATATATATATATATATATATATATATATATATATATATATATATATATATAAATATATTAAAAGCATTTAAAGTCAAATCACCATAAATCATTAGTTTACTAATGCATCATAAATTTGTTCTTTTTTGTAATGTTGTCTTATATCATGTAATAATGCAAATACATTTATGTTACATAATAATTTAATTTTAAAAAACTTAAGAAAAATTGTCAAGTATGCAATGATTGATTTTATCAACCAGCTTCAGCATTGTCAAACAATTTAATATTTTTTGATTATTCTACACCTTAGATGAAAATTTATAGTTAAAAATTATATAATGGAAAAGAATTCCATTATTAAAACAATATGAATTTAAAAGAATATTTTTTTAGAAAAAATGTCTTTAGTTTATTTGAAGTTTGTTGAGTAGTTCATTCTTTATGTAATTTTCCATTAATGCCAATATGGTATAATTTTAAAGTTAAAAATAATAAAGGCTTATTCAAGAATGATTGAAGTTTTTGTTTTATTATTAGACTATTCTGTAAAGGTGTAGTTTTTTTAAAATTTTCAGTTACTTCAAATTAAGAACTTAGTTGATTATTGTTATTATTTTGTTTTACATCAATAGAATGGGTTTTTGATATTTATATATATGTAAATAAATTAATGATGTTATCTCCAGTTGGTGGCTTAGACAATGTGGTGAGTTTCTTTTTATTTATTTATTATATAATATATATTTTTTTACTTTATTTTCATGTAATTGTGAGTTTGTATATTAAGTCTATAAACAATGTGTTGTTTTTGGCAGTTTTAAGAATTTATTCAAAAATTTGAATAGATTCTTAAAAGGATCTCTTCTTATTTGAATATCCTTTGGGTTGGTAAAAAAAAAATGCTGGTATAATACATATGCAGTTTTGTTACAAAAAAAATAAAACAAAAAGTATAATAGACACATCACTAGTTAACTTTTTTTTTAACAATGCATTTAAGCAGAGGGCTCAAAAAAATTGAATCATGAATACTATGTCATTTACCAATGGTAATTGACTCTAAAATCCTCTTTTCTAAAAGGAAACCTAGGACTTTTGTATTTAAGTATTTTCACTTTTAAAGCCTTTAGACAAAGTATATATATATATATATATATATATATAATATATATATATATATATATATATATATATATATATATATGTATATATAAAAAATACTTTTAAAGCCTTTAGACAAAGTATATATATATATATATATATATATATATATATATATATATATATATATATATATATATATATATATATATGTATATATATGTATATATAAAAAATACTTTTAAAGCCTTTAGACAAAGTATATATATATATATATATATATATATATATATATATATATATATATATATATATATATATATATATATATATATATATATATATGTATATATATATATATGTATATATATATATATATAAAATATAAAATAAAATGCACAGGATTTTTTAAAATATTTTAATAATAAAGTATGTCCTAAACACTTTCAGTTATCCCAAATAATATACTAGAAAAATCAGCTTATACAACCTACGCTTAACAAAATCTAGTGAAGAGTAAAAAATTCATCATCTTTTGTATTAAAAGCCAAAGAATAGACAAATGAAGAAAATGAGGTTTAAGTATCATTTGATCTAATAAATTTGTATCCGTCAGTACTACTTGATAAAGCAATTTTAGCTATTATTGATATTTTAAATAATAATAAAAATGATTTTCAGTTGCCTACTAAATTATTTTTAACTTACATTCATAAGTCATTCATATCTTAGACACGAGTTTCAAAAAGTTGGCATAAAAACAGTTTTTTGTTTTGTATGATCTTTACTGAATATATTATGCCAAAACAAATCAAAGCTACTACCAAACAGTTACCGGGTGTTAACCAACTTGAATGTACATGAGGCGCTTTTTATGTGGGTGAAACCAGGAAAATGATTAAAACAGAAATAGCTAAACATCAAAAAAACGCGACTAAAACTAACTGGAAAGCCTCTGGAATTTTTGAACATGCACAACATTGTAAAGGTATAATTAACTGGAATAGTTCTAAAATACTTTCAGTTATCCCAAATGATTATACTAGAAAAATCAGGTACGCAATTGAAATAGACAGATTGCAATGTTCCTATCTCAAAAATAAAATTCTAAACATTTACCTGTCTTCTTTATCCTTTGCAATTTGTTGTGGATTTCTAGAACGTTAAACTATATCATGCCAATATGCAGTTGGGATGCCATTTCTTGCCAAATGTCAAGAACTTGTTACACTGTTGCCTTAACACTTACAACTTTTTTCTTAGCTCTTTGTTGCCATTTTTGAATAATCAATGATTGATACAATAGCACATAGTAAACAATAAGTATTGATAAAGTACAAACTTGGTGAAATTGATATATTAAATTAAACAATTATAGCAACTTGAAGGGTTTTTGAGTTGCTCCGGAGCTGGAGCTAGAACTATCTGGAGGTAGTGTTTTTACAAGGAGCTGGGCTAGAACATGAGCTAAATAATTTTCAGGCAGAGCTTGCTTTTGAGCCGACATAAACACAGAAATTCATAATATTTCTAGCTGCATTTGTCATTGATGGTGGGTGTAGAATACTCTTACAAGAGAATCAGATAATAAAAGCAAAACAAGGGTTAAAAGTAATAGCAAAAATAATCATCAAAGAGATGTCAAAAACATATTATTAAGTCAAGAATTAAGAAATACAGCTGAATCTAGTAACTAGTGTTAAAATTTGACGTGGGTTAGGACCAAGTTTGATAAAAAATAACTGGGGCCAGGTTTGTGATGGTGGTTGGGTATATTTTGATACATCCTAAAGAATATTTATTTTATTCAAAATTAATGTTATCTTATATATATATATATATATATATATATATATATATATATATATATATATATATATATATATATATATATATATATATATATATATATATATATATATATATATATATATATATATAGACATGTATATTTATATATAAACATCATTACAATCAACATTATGATGATGATGATGATGATGATGATGATGATCATTAAGTTTTAGCGATTTAAGTTGTTTCTTAAATATAAAAAATCTTGAATATTTTTTTCCTTAACTAAAGTTCAATCATACCACATGTAGTGCACTCTCTTCAAATTTTTTTACTTCTAACTCAACCATTTTTTCCTGAAGCTGCTACCTATCTACATCATTTAATCACAATTTACCACTTTAATCTTCTCTGACAAATATTGTTCAATAAAATGTTTTTTCTAATCTCTTTCTAAAATTCAATTTTTCAACTTCTTGTGCAGTTGCTATATTAAATCATAATCATTTTTAAAATATTTTTTACAAAACCATATTTAATGAGAACAAATGTCATTTCAATAATGCAAAAAGTTAATGTAGTCCTGTCTGATGCAAGCTCTGTTATTCTCAGTTTACTAAATCATTTATCTAATCTCAGATGGTAGATTCTAGAGACTTTAAAAAAATCTTTAATATTATCATTAATTAAAGTAAGTCTAATATTCCAAATTTAATTCATGGGTATGATTTTATTTCTTCTCAGAATAAGGCAGAGTTATTTGCGAGGAACGTTTCCTCTAATATGACTCTTGAATCTAATGGCCATACTCTCCCTGCTATTCCAGTTAATTTCCATCATCAATCTGTGCTAAACTATTAAGTGCTAAATATTTCTAATATTTAAAAACACTGTGACCTCTTTAAATATTGTACAATTAGTCTTCTTTTTAATATTAGTTTCTTCATATAAAATTTTTATATTATTAAATCAATACTTTTTAACCGCAGCATTAAAGTCATTCTCATAGGCCTACACACTTCTTCATTTCCATTAACTTTAGGAGTGCTGCAAGACTCTTGGATCCTGTATTGTTTCTTATCTACAGTAACGTTTTTCTTAACAATCTTACATCCAAAGTATTTTCTGACAACTCATCTTTATACTCTTGTCTTGTCAAAATATCTTTCTTTTTGATTGCTCAGAACAATTAGCTGATCTTTAATCCGATTTCTATTCTGTAAAAGCTTAGTGTCATTTGGATTTTAATTTCAACAAAACTCAGATGTTTACTGCAAACAGATATTGCAATATTGTAGACATTATTATATTGTCGAATAACAACCCTCTCACTCTCAGACAAGGTCCAAAAACACATTGTAAATGTAGTTGAACCTGCTTTATCTGCCAAGCTTGAGCCACTCTCCCATCATTCTAAAGTTGCATCTCTTTCTTTTTTCTACAAATACTATTATGATTGAGCTATCATTTCTAGTTCAATTAACCAAAACTCATTCTTGCTTGGCTTGCCATTCAGAAATGTTGCATTCTTTTACTGTATCTGTCCCTTCATGCTGTTAAATTATTTAATGCGCTAGCCAATATTTTTGTGGGGATGTGGGCAAGGCTGAAACTGCTGGCTAAATGAAGAAGACAGATATCAGGCTTTGTTTTAAAGCGTTAAGTGTAGAGCAATTTATTTTCGCCTTTTTTTTTACATAAAACAATTTTTATGTAAGCAGTAAGCGACTTTTTTCATTTTTTAACTTTTAGGTTATACTATAAGCGGTAAGATAAATAAAGTAATTTAAAAAAAGTCATATTAATCTTTGAATGACGTTTATGTAAAAATATTTCATACAAAAGTTTAAATGGCAATTATGTTTGATACAAGCACTATTTAAATAATAAATTTAAATAATAAATTTTTTCATTAAAAAATATTCACTAATAAAAAAAACTCAAATAAAATTAAAAGTTTAATTTTATTTTGTTTTTTATTTTATTGTAATGATTGATTTTATAAAAGCATAATTTAATTCTGATAAAAAATATATGATTTAATGTAAAACTAATTTAATAAAAATATATAGTTTTATTCTGATAAAAAAAAAAATATATAATTTAATTTAGATTTAAAAAAAATATAATTTAATTTAGGTTTAAAAAATATATAATTTAGTTTTGATTTAAAAAATATATTTAAGTTTATTAAAATTAAAGTTAATACTCGGGTTTAAACTTTCTATTTAAAAATATTACTAAATATTGTTAAATTTTTAAATTTTATTTGTTCTTAAAAAAAATCAACTTATTTTTATCGCAATTATTTTTTTAGTTTTCCTTCCTAAACATTTTTTTTTTTACTTAAAGGGCTAAAAAATGGTTGCATCAAAAGTTTGCACAAAACATAAGTTATACTTTTATTATAACGCAATTTAAATTGCTGGCATTATTTTTTAATAAACGATATATTCAACGGGTCAGGGCAATAACATCCGTTTTTGCCATGTATAATAACATCCATGAAACAACATCCGAAATTTCATCGATTTATAATAACATCCGTGCAACAACATCCCAAATTTCATTGATGTATAATAACATCCGTGCAATAACATCCCAAATTTCATTGATGTATAATAACATCCGTGCAACTACATCTGTAGATTTTTCGGATGTAACTACATCCAAATTTTTTTATTTTTTATTTTAATGTATAATTTTCACCAGATATAGTTACGCATCTCATTTTTTTCGGATGTAACTACATCCGCCAAAAAAAAATTATTATAATGCATTATTTTGAGCATAATAAATATTTTTTTTAAAATTATTTGATAGACTGCCTGCCCAAATCTAACCCTCAGTCGATGTAGCAGCACTTCGTTGCAAGTCAGGCTATTTGTCAGTCGATGTAGTAGCACTCCGTTGCGAGTCAGGCTATTTGTCAGTCGATGTAGCAGCACTTAATAAGTTACATATATAATATAATAATTATATATGTAACTTATAAATGTAACTAGATCCGGAATTTTTTTTTCAATAATGTATTATTTTAACCAGATGTAGTTGCACATCTGATTTTTTTCGGATGTAACTACATCCAAAAATTTATTTTATTTAATAATGCATTACTTTAGGCGGATGTAGTTACACATCGAGAAAAACTCTCGGATGTAGTTACATCTTCTTAAGATGTTATTAGACATCAATGAAATTTCGGATGTTGTTTCACAGATGTTAATTCAGTAAAGAAAAAAAGGCATTTAGCATTTTATATTTAAAACAAGGCCTGTGATATATATATATATATATATATATATATATATATATATATATATATATATATATATATATATATATATATATATATATATATATATATATATATATATATATATATGCATATGCAAGTATTTAACAAATTGTAAATATATGCATAAATTTATAAAAAATAAAGTATTAAAAGTTTTTTCCTAGCTTTGGCTATTTTATAAGTTTGATGGGGCTGGGGCCAGGTTTTATAAAAAAGGAAGTGTGACCAAAATTAATTTTTTGGATAAAAATATTTTTAATAAAAATTTCACGAATAAAGTTATGGAAGAAATGAAACATTTAAAAGTGAAATCAGCTTTTAAGGAAATTAAAAAAAAATCCAAAAAGAATACGGAAGCGTGCAGTCAATTATACTAAAAGTATTTATATACCAATTGTATACCTGTTTCACAAGCTGTTTTCTGAACTTTAGTTTATATCCAATGATCTGCATTCCTCACTCAAACCTGATATTTTATAAAAGTATTTTATTTTTCTTTGATTTATTTTAGTCTGAGCTGCTCAGCAGCTTCTCATGAATCAAAACTTTTAGTAGGGCTGCAGCCACTTTTTAGACATCTGCTTTAATGCCCTGGTGACTTGCAATGTACATGCAGTTTACTAGGCAAGAAATTCAAATTGAATTTACAAATCTATTACATTTTAAACTGCATGGATATTGACCTGAAATATGCATGCAGTCCACAATGCAATGCATTGCTAAATTTAATTTGAATTTATCAATGCATTGTATTGCTAAATTCAAACTTGCAGTAGCTGCAGTTCAATTTGAGTTTAGCAATGCAAATTATTATTTTTTCTTACAGTTAATGAACCAGCAATCCAGTTCTGCGCAAAATAGTTATAAATTTATAATTCAACCATTTGCAACTGAAATTTTATAAACATTCTTATTATATATTATGGGTGAGGGAATGTGAGAGATAATAAATTGTTGGGTGCAGGCTCCATATTTTTTGTTGTAAATTTTTTTTTGTATTTTTAAAAGTTTTTATTTTAAAATTTTAGCAATTAATTTTTTAACTAAATTTCTTTTTTCCTTTTTATATTCAAGTAATTCTCTTTTTTTGTTGTATTTTTTTTTATTTTTAAACTTTTTTGCACACTTTTTTTTATATGTTTTACATCCTATTGTATATATTTTTACACCTTTTTGTTTATGCTTTCTTTTATTTAATAAGTGCTTTGGTTTATTTTGTATTTTTTAAGAATTAATAAACAAACTAATAAAACATCTTATTTGCTATTTTACAGTGTATTTTAAGCCCATGGGCGCTTTAGATTTAATTTAAAAAAAAAAAAAAAAAAATTAATTTCAGCAAAGTGTCTTTATGGTTTATAAATTATATTTTTTCAGGATCCATTTCAAATGCTGGATAAAGGTATTCCTGATTTTGAAAAAGTAGAGTCAAAGTAAGTAGATTCATTAAATTAAATTAAAAGTAACAGTTATGTAAGCAACTTTATTTATATTTAATCAATAAAAAAATAAGAAGCAATCAATTGGTAAAAAAATAAGGGAAGGTCAAATAGTATTTATTATATATACAGCTTTCAGTTGATGCAAAAAAAAAAAAGAAATAAAGTTATAGTTATTTTTATTAAAAAGAAGAAAATTTTTTCTTTGAAGGTTTATATGGGTACAATATAACATCACATACAACAATAGTATTAGACTTATAAAACTATGTGAAGCCCTAACAATAAAGTAGACTCCAGTATTTTCAGTAATAATAAATCATAGAAAAACATTTTAAAAATTCAATAAATTTTTGGTTTATTTTTATTAAAAGATTTACTTCATATATCATGATGCTTACCTATTGTTTCATATAATAGAATGTGGTGTTATTGCTAGTCATAAAGCAATTTTGATATTGTAGAAAAAAAAATAAACAGGTATTTATGTTACTGGATTGAATTGAGAACATTTACTATTAAACAAACAAGATAAGACTGTTGAAGTTTTTAATTTCAATATAGACTTTATGAGGATTTTTTAGAAGTTTTGTTCATTTGGCTTGCAAGAAAATTACCCAACAAATTTTGTAAAGCTATTTTTTTTAATATTATTCACCATTTCATATAATATTAGTGTTATTATTATTACTAATTTATTTTAATAATAATTTTTTAATATAATTCTGAATATGTAATTTATGAATTACATGTTACTAGATTAAATTAAGACATAATGGCAAGGCATACTTTACCTGCCCGTCCATATTATGATACACTTCAGAGAGTCTACATATACTGCACTAAATTTACAGTAATAAATGGATTTTTTGTTGTTGCTGTTGTTAGAGTCCATTATAGTTTTTGACGTACTTATGTGTATCGGTTTAAAAAGACTTTCAATCACAATTTGAATTTTTATGCTTTATTTGCTGAAGTTGTACATTTGGGGATGCCAGTTGACTTTTTACAAAATAATATATACCAATGCATACCTAACTGCCCTAAAACATTATATATGTCATAGGCTTCAGTATATACATTAACTGAAGGTTTAGTTTTAGATTAGTCATTGTCACTTCTATGTACATTGTATAGAATAGATTCCTATTTTCCACAGTTTTTCTAGATAATTAGATTATCTAAATTAGGCAAGTTAGCAAATAAGCATTAGAAAGAATTATAGGTATTCTACAAATCCAAGGAGAACCTACTACTTCCTGAAATACCCATTTAATGGTCAGTTTGATAAACAGATTAAGGTTCTAGTGTTTTTTTTTAATTATTCTTTTGAAAACTTCCATTTTACTTCCATTTAAACATTTTGGAAGCCATTTTAATTCAAGTGGAGAAACAACAGACAAAGTTATGGAGAAGGCAAATTTTGCCAAAGCTGGTGAAGTTCTTGCACAAATTTAGTCCAGCAAAGTCATTGATGAAAAAAGTCGAGTACAAAGAACCAAACAGTAAAAAATGTGTAGAGTTAAAGCAGTTTTGAGCAGAGAGCGATCCTAAACATGTCAGAGAAGGTCAATACTTACTTCAAATTGTAAAATGTAATAATAAAAACTGCTGTGATCATTGTCACAGCTTGAGTGCAATAATACAAAAACCAACTTTGCAAGCCTCTTTTTAAACTTATCACTTAGCAAAGCAATTTTGCTCAAGAAAGTTTCCCAAAGGATTGTCATGCGTTTACTCATGTCTCAGCATTCAAACTTCCTCACCAAAAAGAATTTGTACCAATTGTAGTCTATATTTTGCCACTATCAAATCAATCAAACAACACAAAACAGTTTGCTTAAGTATTGGGTTATTGAATGAGATTCAAAAAGTTTGATCTATTTGCCTAGTTGCTCAATGTCTATCTAAACTCATGTGCGTCTTTTGAAATTCAGACAAAGAAATAATTGAGTGGTATAATCAGGACAATGTCCATACCTGTTACCTCAACTGGCCTTAAATAATTATTGAAAAACATGTAACTCTAATACTTGAAGGTTAAAGTCTGATATGGGAATTTAGGTCTTTAACACAAATATGTCAATTGTATTTTTTTAAAAACATAAACTGTTACAATTGAATAAACACTTGTGAAAATTCCAAATTTTCGTCTTTGTCAAATTACACAAAGTTGTGTGATGTGATGTGATATATATATATATATATATATATATATATATATATATATATATATATATATATATATATATCAATCCTTGGAATTAGGATCGGCATTCGGTCATGCCGACCTAAACATGTTTGCGGTTGGCAAAAAAATTTGGTTTTGCTGACCTCGTTTCGATGTTTTATGGTAAGACCTTTGTATTTGCTGACCTGATGCCAACCTCTAAAAGATTGATATATAAAAATATATATATATATATATATATATATATATATATATATATATATATATATATATATATATATATATATATATATAATATATATATATATATATATATATATATAGACTTACAAAAGTTAAAAAAAACGATTCAGTTTTTGCTTTTTTTTTGTGGTTGACCTACTTCTATTTTTAACATTTTAAAAATATTAAAAAACATAAAAACTAGAAATCTTTGCAGTGCATTCTTTGTATGTAAAGTTATACAACTTTATGTTAAAACATATGCAATTTAAATTTTGATTAGATAACTTTGAATTAAAATGAATAAAATGTTGCGTTTAAACAAAAATAAGTCTTACGTATATATATATGAATCGCTAACTTGAAAAAGGGGACATGTCCTGCAAAAATTCACATAACATGTCCCCTTTTTCAAGTTAGCGATTCATATAGTCTTAATGTAAAAAATTTGCTTTCACTAGAAAATACTCTGTTATTAATTTTGTAAACTATATTTAGATACCAAATAAAATGGAAAATATTGCTACAAGAAGTAATAAACTAGTAAATTAGTAAATCATAAACTAGTAAACAAATAAATCAAAATTAATAAACTTCTGTAGAAATCTCCCAGTAGTTAATGAATTTTATCATATGTTTGCCTTTAATCATAATTTGCCTTTACTCAGGGTTGTTTTTGTACTTGTTTTTAATAAAGTCAACAATAAATTTTCTTTTGGAAATTTTTATTAAATAAAACTGACTGCTCAGAAGTTGCAAGAGCAGTTCATATATATGCATCAAAAAACTTGTATAATAGCAAATATAGTTTGCAAAATTAGCTATATTTTTTCAACAGAAAATAAGAAATTATTATGGGTTTGTATTATGGATAAAGTATTATGGATTAGGAAAAAGATACAACGATAGTATAACTGTTGTATTATGTTTTTAATCAAGTTTTTACAGTTGATACAACAATTACAAATAACATTAAGCTTAAGCATTAGCATGGCACTTGTTGCAATTGGCTTCGAAATTACTATCAATTATAAAAATTACTTGTGGTAGTATCTTTATATATCCAAACAATTGTGAAATCAAGGTTCAGATAATTTAGAAATGTTTCAGGAAATATATCCCATTGTTAAAAAATTTGAAAATATAAAAAACAGTTAGAACCAGTGACAGAAACAACTAAGACAGAGCAGGTTAGCAAAAATAAAAACAAACTTTAAGCTTTGCATTGAAGTCCAAGAGAAATTCTTAGTTTGTTTAAAATTACAAGGTAGTTCGTTTACTTACGAATCAGGTATCAAAGAATATATTGAAAAAGAAAAAGATCTGTTAAATGCTAAAAGCGAATGAAGAATGGGATGTTTATTTTAGGGATACAGTAGATCCATACAAAAAAGATCCACACAAAAAAATGCTGTATTATTTACAAAAGATTAAGTTAATAATTTAGATTAACTTAATAAGTTTCTACTTGGAAAGTCCTCACAACGATATACGTGACTTTTTTTTAGTTGTTAACATGCTCCAAGAAGAACTTAGGATCTTACATAAATCACTGTGGAGGAGCAATTTAACTAGGAAGTTCACACAAGTTCTTTACCAATGTCGCTTATCTGGCCAGAGCCAACATCGAACCTCAGACCTCTTGTTTTTGAGAAAGAACTCCAATCACTACACCATGGCTGCTTTAAAATTATTTTGCATTTTCACTAGTAATTGTTACAAATTGTTCCTTATATGGACTAATTCCATATATAATGCCTAATTTTTTGTTTTATTTATAACCTCAGATAATGATTACATATTTTGTTGATATAATGAAAGAAAAATTATTTACCATGGTTTCTATTTTAATTATAATGGCTTCACTTAAGTTAACAATTAATTGTTTTGTCAAAATAATCACTTTTATTAAAATTATAAGGCTAAAATATTTATAATGAAAAAAAAGTATCAAGTAATTTGAAATCAGCATAAAAAATAAATTAAGAAAAAGTGGTTTAACTACACAAAATCCAAATAAAGTTACTTTTGGACCCCTCCTTATGCATGTGTATGTATGTATGTATGTATGTATGTATGTATGTATGTATGTATGTATGTATGTATGTATGTATGTATGTATGTATGTATGTATGTATGTATGTATGTATGTATGTATGTATGTATGTATGTATGTATGTATGTATGTATATATGTATGTATGTATGTATGTATGTATGTTTAGGAAATCTTTGCTTGAAAGAATGCTAGAGTGTTACAAAGAAGAAACCATGAAGCAAGATAAAAATAAGGTAATTAGCTTTATAATTGAAATAATCAAGGATAGAATTACTTTAAAATGTGTTATATAACCAGAGTTATTTGGGCCCTTTTTTTTTAGAGTTTTGTAATTTTTTATTTTGTTTTTATTGATTGAATTTTTTCTATTTTTTTTTGTTTATTCATAGAGAGTTTAGGTTCATTTATTTTAGACAATCATTTATTTTAATGAGCTTAGTTTTATTTATTGTAGAGAGCTTGATTTTATTTATCTTAGAAAGCTTTTATTTCATTTTATTTATTGTAAAGACCTTGGATAGGTTCATTGTTTCTTTAGGTTGTTTACTTCTAGAAGATTTTTTTTCTTAGCCATTTTAAACTACAACTTTCTATAATTTCATATTGTTTTCTTTTCCTTGCCTTGGTAGTTAGTAGTTGAATTATACCAAGTGTGCCTGTTCTGTATACCCATCAACAGCTAGCTGGGCTAGCTCATTCATGATTGCACAGAAGATGATGCACAGAATTATGGTAGTATTGCACAGAATTATGGTAGTAGCTGATTGAATTTAACCTTTGAAGCTATCGAAACTGATAGCACTGACATCTTCATTTGGTAGTGCGTTCCATATGTGAACATATTCTTCAGCAGTGGTTGCTGAAGAAATTAAAGAAAGCAGTCGTTGTCTTTTTTATGATGAAAGTGCTTGCAATGGTCGCAGTTTTGATAATGCTTAGGATTTTATTGTCCTCTGCTTTTACACAGCTGCTTTTGCTTCAGACATGTTCTTGTAAGTTATTGATGAAGATATTGAGCACTGTAAACCTAGCACTAAACTTTGCAGAATGCCACTGGTAACTTCCCAGTTAGATGACATATTACTAAGAAAAATGTGTTGTGATCTATTAAAAAAAAAAAAAGAATTAATGCAATTCAGGATGTTACCTTCAATTCCATGGGATTCAAGTTTTTGCTGTAGTCTTCTGCAAGGGTTTTGGTCAAAAGTTTTGGCAAAGTCAAGAAAGAGTATGTTTACATAGAGCTTATGAGAAATACAGTAGTTCAGAAAGTCCATGACCTCGAACAGATTAGTGATGCAGGATTTTTTATTGACAAAGCTGTGTTGATAATTGGCAACAAGTTTTTGGCTACAAGATGCTGCTTGATCTTGTCTTTTATTATTTTTTCCATTATTTTAGTTTAGAGGCGGTGGACCCTTTTTTGAACAGTGGTGTTTACTGAAAGTAAATTCATTTGTATGTGCTTTAAGCATGCATGGACACATGCTAGTCAGCCAAGGCTGCCTCTGTTTGGTAGGTTTGGAGGGGCAAGCAGGATAAATTTGGCAAAACACTTGATATAGTTGTTGCAGAAAATTTAATAGCATTCATAGACATATAATTCTTTAAATAATATTACCCAATCGACTTGGGAGAGTTTCTCAGTTAGTTAGACGTAATTATCTTTCTTAAATATGAATTTTAAGCTCTTAACATATGAAGAGTTGTAAGTATTTTTTAGCTAACTGGTGTTGCCATGTTGTCTTGTGGGGCACTACCAAGAAGAGAACTAATATTAATGTGGATTGTTTGATTCACTGCTTTGCTAATTATGAGTTCTAGTGTGCTTCTGAACATGGTGTGATCTTGACTTGCTGGTGTAGATTTTTTTCTTTTTTTTTATAACATCTTCGTTTCCAACAAGGCTGCAAGCAACCACTAACTAGAGTTGGAAGTTACTGGAAGAGAGAAGATAAAGATTATAGAGCAAGATAGCGATTGATAGACAACTTAAAAGATTGCGAGTTATATGAATCAGGAAAGCAACAGTCACAGAAAAAGGATGAGTCTTAATTGAATGGCGAGTAACGCGAGAATGAATTTTTGTAGATATCACAAGAGGTTCTAGCTCTTTAAATGATGTACGTTGAAAAGGGTTTCAGTAAATTGAGTGCCTAAACTAGTTTCAGCAAAATTCACTAAAATTCTGATAACTAATATTTTGTTATAAACATTACTTGTGTAAAGTAGATGTTAATCAAGGTAATACAAGATAAAATTTCTTATACGCCAAAATTAAAAAAAAACTCGGTAAACAAAAGTACCATATTATTTCAATAATATTTTCAAATGAATGAACTTTAAAAAATGAATAAATGAACTTTAAAAACAAGAATTTCTTGTTGATACTGTGGTCCACAAAGTGTATGCGTTAATTTTAAAGATAGCTTTGCCCGAACGGATAGACAAATATTCAAAGGTTATTATTTGTTCAACCAGGTTATTTTGTGTTAAAAATATTGTCATAAAACATGATGAAACTTTGTTTTAAAAAAACTTTAAGCCAAGAATATAAATATCCTCAATCACAACTGTTTCAAGATGGGCCAAAGTCATTTAGCAAACTTAGGTTCATTGTAGTGTGTGATTCACAATCGCTTGATTCACAATCGATTAAGGTAAGCTGTTTTAAAATCTAGGTTTTTAAAACAGTCATGTGTTAAATGTTAAAAATTTTCCTGTTTGGTTTGGGGTGCTGCAGCACAAACTGGTACTTTTCAAACCCATTGGTGTTTTTTGCAGAACCCTATTGACATTTTTTGCATAAGTTGATGACATTTGACTCTGTTGCTGTGGATGATGAAACAAAGAAGCTGGTTAAGTTTACAATTTGATTTAAGGCCCTTATTGAGTTTATACTTTTTGCGAAGTTCTGAAAACTTTTTGTTCTGAAAAACTCTTGCTCTGAAGGAGTTTGATATCAATACACTTTTGTATGCATCATTATTTGCCAGACTTTTGCCAATTGCTAGAAGACTGTTGCGAGTTTATTTGGTTGTAAATTTGATATCAAGAGACAGTGGAGCTGGTAGACCAAGTAGATATTCTTGTGTTGTGGTGATGGTATGTTATTTTTGTTAGAATTGGTGGCTGGAATGCGTTCTACAACGTTGAAAGAAGCAGATCAGTTTACATCATGTAAAATATCCTTTACCAATTGATCATTGGTAGAAGCATTGATACTAGCTGCATTGGGAAGTTTCTCTTAACTTTTGGCTGTTGAATCCTGGTTTTTATGTTCTGAGTGTTTATTATGGCATTGTTCGTGGCTGGTCCAGTTTAGGCTGATAATTAAATAAGCGACTTTAGAATTGATTGAGAATGTGAATTGAGATGAATGATCTGCTAATGGTTGGTAGTTGATCTGCTAATGGTTGGTAGTTGAATTTGCAGTTTGGTGTTGGTTTTTTAGATGGATGCTACTTTTTAAATTAGTATTTTGACTGTTGAAGCAAGAGAGCAATCACAGTCTTGCACCTTTTAGATTTTTCCAACAGGTATATTGAGTTCATAGAAAGTGGAATAAATGATGTTTTGTACAATGCATTGGAAAACATGTAGAAATATGAGGCTAATAAGACTGAGGCTAATAAGGCTCATATGAGGCTGATAAGGCTTTGCTCATATGAGGTTAGTGGTTATGATAGGTGTTGGTGTTGATTAAATATATAGTTGGTTAATAATTAAAAAGATTTTTTTCATTTTAATTGTTTTTTTTATTTTTGTTTTTGTAGCTTTTAAAATTTTTTTTATTATAGTCTTCATGATTTATAATAAATTATTTTTAAGTAACTTTTTTTTTTCATCACAAATTAAATAACTGAAATTAAAGTTCTGAAAACTTTATAGGAAAACAAACAAACAGGTTAGAAAATTACGTGCAATCTAACTATATCACGTGTAATCTAACTATATCACGTGCAATCTAACTATATCACGTGTAATCTAACTATATCACGTGTAATCTAACTATATCACGTGCAATCTAACTATATCACGTGTAATCTAACTATATCACGTGCAATCTAACTATCAATACTTGAAAAAGGAAAAAATAAAATAACAAAAATCTGATCAACTTGTTTAAAAAAATATAGAATTAACACTTGTTAAAAACTTCCAATACAATAAAAATATAAAGCATAAACAATTAAGTATATTTTTACATATATATATAAATATATATATATTATATATATATATATATATATTTATATATATATATATATATAATATATATATATATATATATATATATATATATATATATATATATATATATATATATATATATATATATATATATATATATATAGGTGTTTTTTTTTTTCTTATATTGTTATATTTTTTTTATAATAATATTTATTATTTTATTTTTTTATTATAGTATTTTTATGAGTCAGAATTTATTTTTTTATTTTTATATTTTATTAAATTACAAAAAAATTTTTAACAATAAAAAAATCAAATTTGTTTAATAATAAAAACTATGCATAGTCTATTTATGGTAATAATATTTATGGTAATAATATCTTTACATTAGTTATAAATCTTTCTTTTGAAAGGGAACAGTGAAACAGTCATATCTTCTTGAAAAATTAGTTATAAATGTGTATCTTTCTTTTGAAAGGGAACAGTGAAACAGTCATATCTTCTTGAAAAACTAGTCAAAGAAGACTGCTTAAGTGTTCTAATAGTAAATTTGTACCCAGGAAATGATGGTTACTCTTTGATGTTAAAGAAAAAAGATGGTAATGAAATAGAAACTGTCCATTTACCATATGAGGTTATCTTTTTATCATAATATGTAATCTTTTTAAATATATATATTATAATAAAATATATAATGTTAAGCAAGTATATCATTAATATTTTTCATAGTAATCTGTATGAATTTTTTTAATAGGAAAATGAATTTTTGACATATTTGGATCTGCAAGAGGTATTTTTGTTTTGTAATAGTTATATTTTCAAATGTAAAAAGTGTCTCCATCTTTTAATTAAATTTTTTTTTACTTATTTAGATAATCTTTTCAAGTAGTTTTGAAACTTTTAAAAACTTAGATACTAGTTTTTTCTTTATTGAATTAATTTTCTTAATTTATTTTTAAACTATACGCATGGTTGTTATTATTATTATTACTATTATTATTTTTTTGCCAATTTTTTTTTTTTTTTTGCTTTTATTTTATTATTTTTTTATTTTATGAAACTTTGTGTTTTTAAGCTCCCTCCACTCTTGGTAGACATTCTTGATAGTGCACAAGTGAGTTTTTTTCATTAAAATGTTTAGTTTTTCTTTTGTTAAGTGAAATCAAAAACATTAAATAATTTCAGGTAGGCATATATCATGATGGCTGTGTAATTGTGGAATTGCGAGATTTCCGCAGAAATATCCATAAAAATTGTGATAAATCATATGTGTTACTCAAGCCTACCAGTCAGGTTTTTCTCTTTCTTTTAATTTTTTTTTCAATTGAAAATATCCTTGTGTTTATTAACAATAAAATATTTGAACAATTACAAATATAATTACAGATTAATTATTAATTAATAATATATTTGCAGCCAAAAAACTCTTTCAATGATTTTATTCTGTATATATTGATGTGATGATTACAAACATCAATATTTTATATTTCCTAATGTAAAAATATTTTTTTAATCTTTCAAATGTCTTAATTTGTTCCATATATAAATGTTGTTAAGTTGCCAGCAAATTTTAATATAATTCTTGCAATATTTTTATGTTCTAGGTTGCCAACAAATTTTAGTGTTGTTAGGTTGCCTATAAATCCCTGTTATTAGATTGCCATAGAATTTATTTATTCCCCCCCCCCCCCCCCCCCAAATATAAGAAAGTAGTTATCTATCCTAACCTGACTTAAGCTGATCAACTAGTAAAACAAGGGCATTGACTTTGTTTTCCCAAGTCGAATTCCATATTTATTAAGTTAAGTGAGTACTGATGAGTTTTAATGTTCTATAGAAAATGAAAATCTACAGTTGTCTATTTAGACTTGACCAAAGTAAAACCAGATTGGTTGGTTTTCAACTAAAAGGAAAATGTTCATTGGAGTCTGGAACATCCATTATTGAACAATTGATTAGCAGTTTGCACAATTTTTCAATCAGGAAAAGAATTACTGCCATGATAATGACAGAAGGAAAATTAGATGTTTTTTAAACATTTATTCAGACTCATTTATTCAAATAACTAGATATTTTTTCATAGACTCCACAAAAACTAGTTTAAAAGTTGTCCTGTCACACAATGGAAATAGTAATGCTTTCTTGGCCAATTAAGGATTTGGGTTTGGGTTGCAATTTGGTAGGGTTAAGAGAAATTTTTTTCACTTTATTCTTGCATTTAACTCTTTGAAAATTTTTGCATTTTATGTGTGTCCAAGAGATTTACAAAGTTTTCATTCTTTATATGTGAATAGGACAACAGAGAAGCAAATTGGTCCAGAAAACAATAGCTCAGCAGAAAATATTCTAACATCTTAAAAGAATTTTTTCTTTGCATAGTACTTAAGTAGATCTAATAAAAATACTTTTATGCATTAAGTCTAAAATGAAACAATTTGTTAAAACTTTGCCCAAAGATTTAACAATTGTTAAGATAATTGTTTTGAATATTTTTGTTGAAAGCTTCTTTTTTTTTATCCATAAAATCTACAGTTGATTGTGCAGTAAGTTTTGAAAAAGATGTAAAACATAATCCAAAACACTTCTATGCATATGCACAAAGAAAAAACACTTCTATGCATATGCACAAAGAAAAAACACTTCTATGCATATGCACAATGAAAAAACACTTCTATGCATATGCACAAAGAAAAAACACTTCTATGCATATGCACATAGAAAAAACACTTCTATGTATATGCACAAAGAAAAAACACTTCTATGCATATGCACAAAGAAAAAATCAAACACATACAATACAAATAATACAAAATAGCATACAAAAATACTAGAACTTGAAACTCGTGACAATAAAATAATAACTGACAAAAAAATAATAACTGACAAAAAAATCATTGCTTATCTACTAAATTCTAGTTTCCCATTAGCATTTGTCAAAGAAAACTAAAATCTCCCTTATTTCATCAATAAAACTTGTCAGTTACTTGAATGTGACTTGGATCAAGAACTAAAGGAAAATATTATGCTTAATTATTTATTAGAACTTAATGAAAACAAATCTCTTGGTTGCAATAACTTCAGTTCCTATGTGTTAAAGTATTGTGCAAATGCAACAATTATGAAAATATGCAAACATCACACCACTTTTTAAAAAAAGAGACTAGAAGGGTTTGCTCAATTGCCGACCTATCTCTTTATAATCAATACCAAATAAGATAATGGAAAAAATAATTTAAAAAAAGCTGAAAATTGTATAATAGAAAACAATATATTAACAGTTCAACAACATGTATAAGTACAAAATAAAGGGTGCCTAACAAACTTATTAGAAATTTTCAATATTATTACAACTGAAATTGAAAATGATTATCCAATTGACATATTGTTCCTAGATTTTGCAATGGCATTTAATAAGGTGCTCCACCATTGATTTATATATAAGATTTCAAACTATGGAATAAAAAGTGATGTTTTAAATTGGATTGAGACTTTTTTAAAAAACAGAAAACAAAGAGTTGTAATGGGTGAAGTTATATCAGATTGGTGTGAGATTTGTAGTGGTGTACTGTAGTGGTGTACTGTAGTGGTGTACTGTAGTGGTGTACTGTAGTGGTGTACTGTAGTGGTGTACTGTAGTGGTGTACTGTAGTGGTGTACTGTAGTGGTGTACTGTAGTGGTGTACTGTAGTGGTGTACTGTAGTGGTGTACTGTAGTGGTGTACTGTAGTGGTGTACTGTAGTGGCGTACTGTAGTGGTGTACTGTAGGGTTTGGTAATAGGTCCTCTTCTTTTTCTCTTATATATCAATGATTTTTTTGAATATATCTCTTCAATTGCAAAACTATAGATTTTCTTCTAAAAACAACAAAAGAACTAGACTTACGTGTAATAGTTTCATCCAATATGAAATGGAATCATCAGGTTCATGTAAGACACAAAGAATCTTATGCCTAATCAGCAAATGCTTTGCTTATCTTAATACTAAAATGGTAAGGCTATACACATTGGTTGTTAGACACCTAGTTTATGCAGAAAACATGAGGCATTAATTAATTATTGTAAAAAATATTTGTTTTTTTTTATTAGATAAAAAAACAGATTGTTAAATATATTTTTTTCAATTTTCCGTTTTTAAAAATTTTTTATTATTTATTTATTTTATTATATTTAAATTAAATTTATTATTAAATATTAATAAATATAAATTTTATTAAATTTAATTCTAATTTTTTTTACTGATAAAATTTCCAAACTGTGTTAAAGAAAAGAAAATTAAAAAAAAAATTTAATTCAAGTTACTTAAAAATGTTTTTATTACATTTAACTATTTTGTTTATTTATTAGTATAACACAATCAATAAATAAACGTTTTAAAAGCCCAAAATATTTATTTTATTTTAAAAACAAAACTAATATTAGTGCTATAAATATAAGATATGTGTTAATAGTGCTATAAATATAAGATATGTGTTAATAGTGCTATAAATATAAGAAATTATACTGATATTTGTTAAAAACAAATTCTGTTAATAACATCTTGAAACCAAAAATACTATTTTTTTTTGGAATTTGTAAGAAATAGTGAAAATACATTAGGTTTTAGGGTAAATGAAACCAAAATATTTTAATGAAAATAAAAATAAAAAAATGAAAGAAAAGCGGTGACATTCTTTTAATTACAGTTTTTATTTTGACAAAAGTCTAAAATGTATTAGGTAGCGTGAACATTTTTTTATAAAAAAGGAAAGCCCAATATAATTGTGTAATTGTGAAAATCATTTAAAAAACTCTGCAGTAAGTACATTTATTATTCAAACAAGATATTTTTACAACAGAAAAAACTATGTAGATTCATGAGAGGAATTAACCTTCCAACTGGATGTATATGGTAAAACAACAAATGTTTTTGTTAATATCTTAATAAATAAATTTTTGGTAATTCTGATAAACTCAAAACTTATTTTTTAATGTTTATTTACAAAATGAACATAACTTGTCTCGGTACTTGGGAATCCCTTTAAGAAATTTAACTATGAGCAATAACCCCCTCATTTAAAAAAAGAATAAACATAGGACGAATGCTTTAAAGAAAAAAAAGTTGAAATAAGTATAAGATTTTTGAAATTGAAGAATTTTTTTTTCAAACAACCTATTTACATTTTATTTATGATTTTTTTTTTAAAAACAATATTTAATTTAAATATATTTTATAAAGATAAAAACTTACAATGATTTTTAATATGGTTTCAAATTAAATTTGATTACAATGCGGTACTTTAAAACATGCATAGCTATAATAAAATGAGAATTAAATTAAATTAAAAAAAAAATTACATAATTAAACATTTAACAATGTAAATATCTTTATTGAGTAAAGTTACATTTAGTCGTATTACCCTTTTCCATTACATAACAAAATCCCATAACAAGGCCTGGTGTCCGAGTAATAAAAAAATATTAATGACCTGGAAAAATTTCAGAGACGAGCAACAAAATTAACACCTGAGCTAAAACATATAAGTTATACTGAAAGGTTGACAAAGTTGAGTCTCGTAACACATGAAACTAATTTTTCATTACTATTATATTACTATTACTATGACAACCATCAACCATCTTGATCTTGACTCATCTAAAAACTTGATGATTTAAGTGAGGCGATGAAACTTGTGATGAAACTAAGTGAACTGATGAAACTTGTGATGAAACTAAGTAAACTGATGAAACTTGTGATGAAACTAAGTGAACTGATGAAACTTGGTGATCTAAGTGAAGTGCAGGTGGAGTGATTATATTAGCACATAAAAGAAATGGGTATTAGGGACATTAGAATGTCAACATAATGGTTAATTACTTTTGGTCACTTCTCAGAGAGCAACTAAATGTATTTTAACAGAAAAAACTCTACAAAAAACTTTTCAGAGAAAAGAGTTAAGAAGTATTAAAAAACTTTTATTGAAGTATTAATTTTATATTAATATCATATATATAAATAATAATAATAAATTACATAAATTAATTAATTATATTAACATAAGTTAATTTTATATTAACATAAGTTAAATTTATATTAACATAAGTTAAATTTATATTAACATAAATTAATATTAAACTTAATTAAAACTATAGTTTTATAATTTTATTTTTTGTTGTTGGCCTTGTGTTATTAGTTAGTTATTAACATATTAACAACTATTTTCTTTAGCTGATTAAATTAATATACTAGCAAATCATCAATTAGTTATCAATAAGCAACTTTTTGATTGGATATTATTTGATTAAATGTTATTCAACTAAATAAGATATAATGTAAATTTAAAATTTGTCACTTTATATTTATTTAGACAATCATTCGAGATGTTAATTCAATGATGTCTGATCCCTTAAAATGGGATTTAGAAGATAAGCAATACTTAGAATCACAATTAGTTTTAGCATTGCAACCTCGAATTTCATTGGATCCTTCACCTAATATTTTGACGATTGCAAACAAAATTCAGTACCAGTCCAACAAATGGAACAATAAGGGTTTGAAAAGGTTTATGTTGTTAGACTTATTTCTTTAAACTGTCAGTTATAACTATGTGTTTTATTCTTAAACAATATGTTTCTAAAACTTTCAAGAAATTACTATCTACTCAGATATGTATGAATTGCTAATGGTGTCACACTAAAATATGGACATATAAGGGTTTTAATCAAATGAAAGGTTTGGGGATGAGAGCAAAAAGGAGATCTATTATAGCAAAAAAAAAAATTTTTTTGTGAAAAAATTGTCTTGATTAATGTATGTATTTATAGGTTTTGAGCAGAATATATTAGTACTTTCAAGGACGTATTAATAGATAGACACTTAACTCATTGTTTAAAAGCCAAAATATGCGCGCTAGCAATTGTTATAAATAACAATTGCTATAAATAACAATTTGCAATTGTTATAAATAACAAGTTTACTATTTTGTTAAAAAATTTTCTATATATTCAATCACCCTTGTATAACTCCTGTATAACTGGATAATAAAAAGTTTTTAAATCATATGATTATTCTAGAATTATACTTGTAAAAAAAATTAAAATACCAAAAAATATCAAAACAAAGTTGTGAGAGAAAAAATGATTTGATTCTTTTTAAAAAAGAGAAGCTTAAATCTTCAAGAGATTAGTGAAATCTAAATGTAGGGAGTAATGATTGCCAACAATCTCTAGTTCAATCTATAAATGATTTATAACATGTAGAAAATTCTTTTAACTTTACAATATTCATTTTAGAATATCACATATTGTATTTTTACAAAAATATTATTTTTGATGTCAAAGTTTTTTTACAAATAAGTTATTATTTAACAAAGCTTTCATATCAATTAAAATATTTATCACATGAGACATTCTTAATTACATAAAAAGCATTTATATTTTCCAAAAGTTTTTGTTTTATGGGTAATAAAATGTTTACTAAAAGAAATTTGCAAAGCAAAAATGTCAATTTATTTTGTAAAATTATTTCAAAAAATGACGCTAAAAATTCCAACCTGCAAAGAAATTCTGTAATATATATATATATATATATATATATATATATATATATATATATATATATATATATATATATATATATATATATATATATATATATACATATATATATATATATATATATATATATATATATATATATATATATATATATATATATATATATATATATATATATATATATATATATATATATATATATATATATATATTCCAACCCGCAGAGAAATTCAGTAATATATATACACACATATATATATATATATATATATATATATATATATATATATATATATATATATTTATATTTATGTATGTATGTATGTATGTATGTATGTATGTATGTATGTATATGTATTTATATGTATTTATATACACACATTCACTAATGCATGCATGTATTATGTTTTAAATTTTGTTACTAATATAAATTTTGAATATAAATTTGTAAAATTAGGGCTCTTCGACATTATTCTCAACCTTATCTTAATCGAGCTGTGTTATGTTCAAATACCCAATCACCTGCTTGTTTACGTTTACACGATTTTATCAATTCGCATCATGATAAACGTTCTATGAAGTCTAACCGAGCAACACAACATATAGATATGTGGAAACAAAGGCCTGTAACTTTAACTATACCATCAAAAATTGATGTAAGACTTATGAATAAAGCGTAACTATTTATGATATTTTATGTTTATTAACTTTTTTATGTTTAAAGACTTCAGAGTTTTTATTCTAAGGTCTTAAAACATATAAATAGTTTTTTTATTTTTATTTTTGAGTTCAATAATAACCAAAATTCATCATTAAAGGTTAACAGTTATGCAAAAGTTCACGAACAGCCAAAATATACAACAGACTATACACCTGAAAAGATTCAAGAAATTATTCTTGAAGGAGAAAAAACAAACAATCGATCATATTTTTGCAGAGTTACAATTCAGCGGCGAGGATCAACTGGTGAATATATTGGCGATTTATATTTGGAGGAAGACTACTTAAGTGCAAAGGATGAAAGTCACAAAGATGGCAGGTCTTGTAGGTACTGTAGCTTATTTAGACGCAGATACTTATTGAGTTAATTAAAAATAGATATTGCTATAAATCAGAAGTTAAAAAGTATAATTAAGTATTTTAAAATAAAGTTTGGTCTAATGTGTTTTAAAAAATATATTTTTCAATTGTTTTTATGTTCTTTTCTATGAAAATTATTAAGTTATTCAAATTTTGATCTCTATGAGTCGTATTCAAAAACGTACATATAATTTATAAATGTATATCCAATGTACTTCATGTATAGTGTATATAAATGTATATCCGATGTAATTTATAAATATCCAATGTACTATCAATGATATCAATGATTTAAAAGTTTATCTTTTTAAAACATCAAATATCTCATTGGCAAATATATTTTATTTCTTATAGAAAACAGTGATGGATGAGGGGGGGGGGGGGGAGTATGTATCCCCTCCTCCCTACCAGAATCTGAAAGTCCTAAAATTTCTTAGAAATTAAAGATTTTTTCAGGAAATGCAATTGTGGTACAAAATACAAAAATATTTCAAATTCCCACCCCCTTCCCTACCACCACCACCACCTCTACTTATATGTTTATATGATAAACTTGATTTGATTTTAAACACCTCTTTATTAAATTAATAGAAACAAGTATTCTTTTGATCATTTCACAAATTAATTTTAGTGTTGATAAAGTTGTTGAAAAATTATTCATTTGTTTGTTTAAAAGATTTGAAAATATTATGGTTTATTGAGTGATCTCTTAGAAAAAAATTTAACAAAAAAAAATTATTTAAATCTAATAAATTAAACAAAAGTACTTTTTATTTATTTTCTTTTTCCTTTATTTTGACTAGTGAATGATTAAATTTTTTCATAATGGTATTTTATAGATCGTTTTAAGATTTGTAATATGTTGTTTCATACAAGGTGGCTATGAGTTGTGTTACCTAATTCATTGTATTCTAACAGGCTGATTTTATCTAGCTATGAGTTGTGTTAACTAATTCATTGTGCTAACAAGCTGATTGTATTTTTTAGTTTTGTTTACTGTTAAACTATGTTAACTAATTGATTCTGTTTTTCGTGTTAGTCATGTTTACTGTTAAACTGCATTAACTATTTGATTGGGTTTTTTAGTCGTGTTTACTGTTAAACTGTGTTAACTATTTTGTTAATAATTAAGTTGTATTAACTTTTGAATGAAGTTATTGTTTATTGTTAATTTATTAATTTTCTTAAGTTGTTATTTTTTTGTTGTTATTTGCATTATAATTTTATTGCTTAGATTTTCTCTCGGCAATCGTCAAACTGCTCAAAGGTATCTACAACAGTTTCAAGAACTTTATACTGAAGAAGGTCGCAAGTCAGTGAAAATTTCTACATTTGTTGCTAACCAAGGAAATCAGCAAAAAGTAACTACAGTTGCACAACCGTCTTCTGTTTCAACAACTCCAAACATTACTTTACCAAAAACTACAGAATCTACATTGACTTTAAATTTGAGTCGAACATTTTCTCAACCACAAAATGCAGTTTTCTCTCAAGGAAATACTTATATTCTTGCAAGTTCAGTACCAGGTCTTCAACAGCAGCTAAATCTTCCCTCTAATGTTGTAATGTCACTATCTAGTTCTCTTGCACAGTCTCTTGTTTCTGGAAATACCACTTTTTCCATAGGAGGTTTCTGTTTGTTTTTTTTAATTTGTTTTTTTAAGCTTCAAATATTTTTAACCTAACAGGGTTCAATGACAAATGTTTGTTCTTTTATTTAAAGGTTGTTTTTTTTACTTTAGTTTTGTGTCAATTTGTGACTACAAAACCTCTCTGTGATCTTTATTTGGATGTACACTACCTTTTTTTGTAAACTTTGTTGTTATGAAAAGTATTACTACAAAGCTTTGAACTTTTTTATTATGCAAAATATTACTACAAAGACTTACTAGGTAAATAAAGTTTGAACTTACTAGGTTAATAAAATTTGGACTTACTAGGTAAGTAAAGTTAGGACTTACAAGGTAAATACTAGAACAGCATTAGTTTAGTAATAAAACTGTGACTGTTTAAATACAACAGGTATGATTAATACACTGAAATAAACATTCGCTAAAATGAGTTTTATTTATTTTTATTCTTTTGTTGATGCTCATCAAGATTGTTTTTGAACTGGTTAAAGTCAAGAGAAATTACTACTTTATACAGTATTTTTTTCCATGCATTTGTGTCTTGATAAGGAGATAATTTTGTCTAGAGTTAGATTAAGGAGATAATTTTGTCTTTCTTGAATATTTAATTGTTCGATTTAAGTTTTCTATTTTATTGTTTTAAAAATTTGTATTAAGTTGCTTTTTAATTTTCAAGTTAAAAGTTTTTACATATGTCATGTTTCTTTCTTTTAATGTCATTTTTCTTTCTTCATATGTCATTTTTCTTAATTTCATGTTTCTTTCTTGATATGACATGTTTCTTTTTTCATGTCATTTTTTTTTCTTCATATGTCATGTTTCTTTCTTAATGTCATGTTTCTTTCTTCATATTTCATTTTTTTAAGAGAGGGAATTATCTTAGTGTCTTATCTCTGTACTCGTTTCATTACAGTATATCTCTTTTATTGTAAGGAGACCATACAGTAATACTGCATTCAAGATGTGGACAGACAGTTGTAGTGTAAAGAACCTTAAACATCTGTTTATTAATATAATTAGAGGTTTGCTTTAGCATACTTGATGCAGAGCTAACCACATGTTGTTTCTTTTTAAAATTAGCTGAGAAATTAATCCCTACATTTTCTTATACATAGACATTTCCAAAGTTATTTTTGTTATTATTAGAATCAGGTATGAAGTAATTGTGCTTTGAATTATTTTTTCCAATATGCATAACATGACATTTTTTACCATTTTTGGTAAGCTAATTTTTTGACCATTCAAATGCTTTAATTGATCATCTTGAAAAGCTGGCTAAGAGTAAATTTGATTAATGATTTTAGTATCATCAGCAAATAATTTAAATGTGGTATTAAGACGTCTGTAAATGCATCCAATTAATATCTTTTTTTTTTTTTTGATTAGCAAAGTTACCAATATTTGTTTAACTTTATTATTACACAAACTGGTATCAAATATTTTAAATGAGTTTGAGTTGTTAGAAATATAGAAAACAAACCCATTGCGTCTTCTACCCACGGCTGTTTCACAGTGAGCTTTACTTCTTCTTTACAAGTCTGGGAATTCTGAAATAAGCGGGATTATTGATGCTTTCAGAGTATTTTATTTGACATTTTTTTAAGATCATGTTTGCTGATGGCATAACAATCTTTTCAACCTTAATTTTATCTTTCGTTGCTTTTTTGGAACCAATCGTTTTTTGGAATTTAGAACATTTTTGCGTTGCTGTTGCTAAGTAGATACTGCATTAATAATTGTAAAAAGTTTTCTTGTTTTTAGTTACTGCTTATTATAGTACCATGCTGAACTTTTTTTTATGCGCAGTGGCCTTGTTCGTTAAGGTTCCTGTTTCAGAGTTATAGAGTTGAGGGTTTTAACCACAACTAAAATAGCCTCTTCAACTGTAGTGGTCTTCATGGCTTTAGGAAGATTAATTGAAATTTTAAAAAAAAAGTTTATTTTCAAAAAAGTTTATCCCGTCTTCAGGCAGCTTTTTTTGGGTGCTCTTGTCTTGAAGCTATTTATTGAGATTGATATTAACGGCTATTCTAGGCTTTTCATTGGGATGATTAGTTTTTGAATATAGGTCCACCATTAAATTGTAATCAGTGTTTATGGATTTAAAAATATTTTTTATTTTCAAAAAAAATTTTGTATTTGTTAAATTTTTGAATTTTTGTTTTTGTTTTTATGTTTGTTTTGATTTTCAGTAGTTTTTCTTTTCGCGACATTTGCATAAATTAATTAAAATATGTTAAATTTTTTAAAATGATTATTTCTTAAATTTCTAATTGCGGCTTTGCTACTGAAAATGATTTTTTAAAAAAAATTAGAGATTAACAAATAAAATTAAGTTAATTAATTTACTTTATTTACTAAAAGTTTATTATTTTATTAGCGATTATGTTGTGAAAGCAAAGATCATTTTTCCAAACACCATTTATTAAAACTATATTGCTTAATTTTGTTATTAAATAGAAATTCAAGTAAATTTTTTTTATTGCAACCAAAAGCTGTATAAATATTCTTGTGTTAGCGAGATGAAAAATAAAAGTTTTATATATATTTCTTTTATGTTTCGTTTTAACGTTTTGTTTCATAACTTCATATACAAAAAAATATTGTCGCTTACTATAAACAATTTTGTTTCTTGTTACTAAATATTTCAATAAAATAGTTAACCTAATATAGTTTAGGTTTTTTGTAGTTTTTAATTTTATTTGATTTTTTTCATTAGTAAATAGGGTTTATATCTAAATAATTTCATTGCAACCTTTGTAATAAACTTTTTTTACATAATCGTCATTCAAAAGTTAATGTAGTTATTTATAAAATTAATAACTTATTTTATCTTACTGTTAAAAAAATAATTTAAATATTAAAAAATGATAAAAAGTTGCTTAATGGAAATTGCTCTAGGCATACATAAGTTGCTAGCAGCTTAATGCCTTCATAAATTGCAGGCAGCTTAACACTTTAAAACAAGGCCTGTATTTAGTAATGTTTCTTGATTAACTTATTATTCATATCAGTTCTAAGATTATTTTATTACAAGTAATTACTTACAGTATTTAATATCAATTTAAATAATATTATATATAGTTCTGAAATCTGGTTACAATTAATTTACTTCAGGTAACCCATACTTTGTTAATGCCTCTGGAAACTTACAACAAGCTGTTAATTCTAAACCAATTCAATCACCTGCTAAAGTGTGTGGAAATCAAGTGATAGGAAATGATCTTAATTCATTAAAGACAACAAACTACATTCAGGTTTATTACTTTTTGCTTGTTCTTTAAATAAAATATTTTTTCAATGATATTTAAAGTTGCTACTTATTGATTCTCAATAATATAATTATCTTATAAATACTGTCACTTTAACAAATTACTTTAACAAATAGTAATACAATGAAATACAGTTAAGTTGTGTGATATGATAAAAACTATATTTTTAAGTTGTTTTTGAGTTTGTTGTTTTTGTACGTTTTATTTCATTCTGAGCAGAACGCCACCTCAGAAAGTACCGAAACTTTTTGACTTTTCACATATTTAAAGTCAATAAGTTTCTGAAAAAGAGTTCAAGTAAAGTCTTAAAAATTTAAGATTGCTGTTCTTGAGAAAAAACAATTAAAACTGTGGGTTATTATGCATAAAATTTTCCTCTTAAACCAAATAGTTTTTTACATTACAACTGCTACTTACTTCTAAGCCAGTTGATTTTATACTTTGATTTTTTAATAAGAGTAAATAAAATGTGGATACTTTAAGAGAAACTAAAAGTTCAAGATCGGCTTTTAAAACTACTATATTTATGCAAATTATAGATATTTTGGTTGAAAAAATGGAACCGCTTAATGAACCAATATGAAATAATAAAGGCAGGGTTCTTACTAAAATAAAAGAACACATTTAGATATATGTTGCAGTTCTGTTGAGAAAAGAGAAACAACTATAACAGGTTCACAAGGTTCTAGATTTTATCTAGAACCTTGTGATCTGGAGAAATAATTCCAAAAAATCTATGTACTCCTATGTACAAAATTAACAGGCTACTGTTACATTCTTAATTAATCATTCTTGTTAACCTAAAATTTAAATTTACAAATTTTATTAGTTATGTTATAAATATTATAAATATTTGTTATAATGCTGCACCTAATTTTATTAAAAATATACCATAACCACAAATAAACTAAGAAGTATTAATTCGTGTCCCCCAAAGTTATGCTAAAGCAAATCTCATGAGCTTTTATTTTCCAAATAAAAGAGTTAGTTAGATGATATGTTTAAAAACCTTATCTATGATTAGTTACAAACTTATTAACATTTTCCCTGCTTTTACTTGTTATTTTCAAATATATATTTTTATTTTCAAACATATATTGCCTTCTTAAATCTTTCTTAAAAAATTTTTCATATCAACATCAGTAATAAAAATAAGCTTAAAGTGATTTGTGACTTTATTAAATTATTTTTATTTGCTTTTTGTATTAATAGGCATTATTATTATTTTTAAACTGCATTTTTCTAAATTACTACAATACTATTTTAATAAAATTGAATTAAAAAATGAAATCTTTTAAAAAAAGAAGTTTATGATTTGCTTCTTGTTTTTATAAATATAAAAATAGTTTACTTCTGTTCTTGACATTTGATAAAATCCTTTTTTCATTTAACTAGTTTCATCACCAGAACATTTTTACTCCAAAAGTTGTCGGTAACAATTATTTGTCTGCATGCTTCTTACTTTGTGTTAAGCATTTGTAAAAATATTTGTAGTATTTGAGATAATGAAAAATTCAAGCAAGAATATCTTTTTTTTTTAAATAATTTAAAGAAAGTTATATCAAAAAATATAATACAAAGAGATTACTTAGTTTCAGTACTACCTTTATTGGAAATACAAAATATTTTTTTAGCAAATATACCTGTAATTAAAAATTAAAATAATAATTTAAATAGCTTTTCATATTAAAAACTTTTCATGAATGGACCTGTATGGAAATTTCTATACAGTTATTGGATTTCACGTGATCTGTTAAATAGTTAATTCTATCTATCTATCTATCTATCTATCTATCTATCTATATATATATATATATATATATATATATATATATATATATATATATATATATATATATATATATATATATATATATATATATATATATATATATATATATATATATATATATATATATATATATATATATGTATATGTATATGTATATATATATATATATATATATATATATATATATATATGTATTTATATGTATGTATATATATATATATATATATATATATATATATATGTATATATATATATATATATATATATATATATATATATATATATATATATATATATATATGTATATATATATATATATATATATATATATATATATATATATATATATATATATGTATATATATATATATATATATGTATATATATATATATATATATATATATATATGTATATATATATATATATGTATATATATATATATATGTATATATATATATATATATATATATATTATTTGTTTGTCTTTCAAGTAAAAATCTGGCTTTTCTTTAAGTTTTTTACTTTTTATTTACCAGATTTTTGATACAAATTTCTAATATTACTTATTTTTGGTAAATAATAAATTTATATTATTATACTTATATTTTGGTAATTAATAATAAGTTTAATTTTATAGGTATAAATTTAGTCTACAAATTAAACCAATTGTCTAAAAAAAATTGTTGTGAAGGAAAAACCAAGTGTATCATAATGCCCCCTCTCTCCTTCATATTTTTAATAAAAGCTGCATAATTAAAATAAAGTGCTGCTAAGTAGGTTGTTTAGCTAAATAATAATCAATTTTTTTGCATTTTATTTATTAAATTTTAATTTAAAAAAGAAAATGATATTTTCTTTTTTAAATTAAAAGAAATAAACATTTCTTTTTTTAAATTAGGCAGCAAAAGTTTAAAACAATTGAAAACTTTCAACCAACTAGAATTACTGGTTTTATTTCTATATACTGGCTATAATTCTCATACCTGGAAACAAAATATAACATTTAAAACTAACAGTCTAGATAAACATTTAGCTGCTTGCTAGATGATAAAAATAACAAATTTCTCTCTCTCTCTCTCTCTCTCTCTCTCTCTCTCTCTCTCTCTCTATATATATATATATATATATATATATATATATATATATATAATCATTTAAATTTTTGTATAAATGGGGTGCGTTTTTCTAACAATATGGTACAGTTTTGTAACAATGTTGTACGGTATTGTAACAATGGTGTGTGATTTTTAAAATGTTAATTACTTCATCTATTATAACACTTTTAAAAAAAAATTTTCAGACATTTTTATTTTATCAACATTACTAAAAAATGTTTTAAACATAAATGAGTACCTTCTCATCTATAGTCAAGACAGTATTTTTTGATTTTTTTTTTGTTACAATCCTTTTTTTGTTACAACTTTTTGTTACAATCAATTTATTTGTTACAACTTGGAAACACATGCCTTGGTAAACAAGACTGCTGTACAGAGATCATCAATAGAGTAGAAACAATAAGAGTTTTATAATTCAGCATACAATATTCAGCCTGAAAAATCCAAAGGATTTCAGTGCCTTATTTAGCCTACATCAGATTAGCAAAATCTTAACTTTGATTTTTTTGCAAAGGGTTGATGATTATTTGATTATAAAAGCATTGTCTTACAAGAGCATAGCTTTACACAATAACATTTTGAAGAATATAGCAATTAAACTTTATGCAAGGATTTAGCAAATTTATAAATTAATAATTTTTTAATTTCGTCGTTTTTTAACAAAAAATCATTTTAAAGTTTATTTTTGTTTATTAATATTTATTAAATTGGTTGCTTAGATTGATCATAGAAACAACGTCATTTAGAATTTAGTTTCTCTGCTGTAGGCAAAGATTTTTGTAATTGTTTTAAAAAAGTTAGAAGATTGGGTTAACTCCTGTTTATTCTAACCTAAACGGAGAATAAAAACTTACTTTGTATCTTAAGACAGCTGTCGCATGTGTATGAGAATGTAAAATATGGTCTGAAAAGTTATTCTTTTTATGACTGATGTTTCACGTACAAACATTTCTCTACAAACATCTCTATTTTAAATATACTTATTTTTGCATGACAAAACCTATTTGAAATTCAGATTGATCGGCTTTCTTGTCAACATTGCCAATGTGGGTTTCGCAGGGTGCAATATCACAATACATAAAAGTTTTATTTGGCCTTTATTTATTGCATTTTTATGAATATATACTTTAAAGTTCGATCTTAAACAATATATTAAATGGATATGTAAATGTGTTAAAATATATATATGGGGGGGGGGGGGGAGGCAGCATTTTTTGATGTTTGAAATAACTAACTTCTAGACAGGCAACGAACTCCAAACATTTAAATTGTTTATACTTATGTTAAACAAGGATGTTTTGCAAAAAACAGTGATGATTGGAGCCTGGGAACATAAAAATAAAATTTGAATTTTATACAATAATCTCTTAGCATTTAAAAATTAATACCTTATAAAATTTGTAACCCTTCAACTTTTACATATTTTAGCCAATAGTATCTGGAGCGACAATGAGTGCATCTCATGCTCAGCTTACTGCAGTACCCATTGCTGTGCAAGGAAATAGTGTTAATATTGTGCAAGGTAACATAGGTGCACAGTTTATAACAAAGGCAACACAGTCTATTCGACCAGCTGGAACAACTGGGCAGATCATGTTGCAGGTTATTATACTCTGTTTACTCATAAAATTTTAATAGTTTTGTGTTAAACCTTTTGAATAAATACAATTGAGTTCACATTTTTTATACTTGAATAAGATGTTATAATATTATACTAATATTAGTTTATTAGTTCAAGTTTTATTATAATTAGTATTATTTAGTTATTTTTATAAAATATTAATAATTTTTATTATAATAATTATTTTTATTATATAGTGGGGTTATTCCATATCAAATCACCTAAAGGCTCCCAGGGTACCACCTCAGAGTTGCTTTAAATTTTGACGAGACACAGATCTTATGAAAAAAATACAATCCAGAAAATTTTAGCTTGATTGACCAATTTGTTCAAAAGTTATGATTGATTTAAAAATGACTAAAATCCGAAAAATTTGTGTATCAGGAGCTTACAGCAGTTCTTTTCGATTTTTGACAAACCATAACTTTTTAAATAAAGATGGTGATCATCTGAAATTTTGTAGGGTAATAGTTTTTCACCCAAATAATCCATTATTGCAGTTGTTTTTGACTGATTTTACAGTTTTTAAGTTATTGTACCTTAAAGTTGCTAAATATTGCAACATTATAAATATTTTTTTGAACTTTAATGTGTTACAGTTTCATACTTACTTACAGAAAGTGGATTTTTCTGTTACCTTTTTGTACTTAGGGTCACCACTTGTTAGAATAATCAAAATTATGCACTAAAAATTAATTTAGCACATGCAGCTGCCTGTTAAAAAATCACTTTTTTTTTAAATTATGATAAATTACATCGACTTTGCTAGCATAAAAAGTAGCGTAAGCAGTTGAAATAAATTATGAAACTTTTTAATGTTGAGGTTCTATATATAGAAAATCACCAAAAAAAAAAAGTAAAGACCTATACTCTATCTTATGACATGATTGTAGCCTTTTGAGAGTGATGATATTTTTAAAAGGAGAACAAAAAAATACCACTTACCGCATACAAAACTTTTACCTTAAATTTTATACAAACTGTACTGTAAAAAAGTGCATTCAAAGAGTAAGATAATCAGTTAAAAGAAAAAGTATGTATACATGAAACTAATTAGCTTATCTCTGATTTATATAACTGATAATACTGTTATAGTCATTACTAGCAAGAATATAGTCACGAGCACTTATACTTTTAATCAATGGAACACTTATTTGACATATTATCTTGTCAAATAGAACCCAACACTGACTTGATCGTGCATCGTTTGTCCATTTTAAATTTAATTTGTTTCTTTACATAAACTTCACATTAACGTCATGGTTTTCATTACAAATATCAACCACAAGCCCTACGTACCATTCTTCATCGTAAAAGCATGCAATATATTTACCGGTTTGAAAATTTGAAGGATTTTTTTTTAATCAAATTAACATCATTTAACACATGAGTATCATAGACAGTATCACAAGAGATTCTTCGTAAAAATAATTTCTCTCCATCTGGTACAAAACAGTGATGGCTTCTTGTTGCCGGAACTGTGCGCATCCCTTCATATCGTTTCTGAAGGTTAAAAGTTGTTTCATGGTTATTGATACCATCACTTGAAAGATAAAATGTTAACACCTTTGATGTTTTTTTGAGCACATGTAAACAGATCTTGTGGTGTGAGAATCTGATTTGTAATTGCTGCTCGTAGACTAGCTTTTGCTGCTTCTCTTTTTATAGTACCTCCTATTCCATCACATGGACTTTTGCCATGTGACGTAGCAAAGAAGTGATGGTCAGCATTTATTTGGTGATCTACAATGTGATAAATTAAGTTTATTAGACATTTGCAGTTTTTATACTGTGACGCAGCACCATCACTGAAGTATTTAACTTTATTCACTGTGGGTAGTTTGATTTTGACCATAGGGAGCAACTTTGTAAGATAACAATGGACTGCTGATTGGTCATGACAAAGATGGTCAGAAATTAAACAATAGCATTTACACTTAAGGTGATCTTTTTCATCTTTGTAATAAACAACAAATGGGTGTAAGGTAGCTTGATCGGCTTTCCAGTAAAACCCTTGTATAGCATCTTGTACAAGAAAACTATAGTTTTCTGCAAAATCCATCAGAATAATGCAGGTATATTGGTCTAATGTTTGTTTTGCCTCTGATAAGTAGGAAGACTATGCTTCTAATAAAGTGATGGTGACAAAGGTCATAAAGTTTCACTTAAAGTTTCAATAAATTCACTAATGCTTGTTTGGACTGTAATAAGTGCAGTTTGGTCAGTTGACACCCATTGTTTATATGTGATCTGATAATCAAAATCAAAATCATTCTTTTCAAACATATTTTCCAAGTAAGTCTTCAAATTTATTTTACCAGGGCAGTTGGAACATAGATGAAACATGCAGTTTCGACTATCTATATTACAAACACATTCTTTCATTAAATCTTTGTAATATATTAAATGGCTGTTAGGAAGAGCAGAGGACATCAACTTTGCATTTTGATTGTAAGAACATACACAAACTGAGTGGCTTCCACTACTATCAACAGTAAGGCACCACTTTGGCCTTAGTTCACAGAACTTGCTGAATCCAACTTTGTGTTCAGGGTATAACTTCTTTAACTCCAGATAAAGTTCTTTTAAACAAACTAATATTAAGCGTTTTTGTTTATGAACTTTAACATTATTTATACGCACAGAAACAAAGTCTTATTTTCCTGGACATTGTCTAGTGTATTTGTCAGATTCATATATTTCAATTACTCTCTGCTTAACAATATCCTCCAAAGGATGTCCTTTTTTAGCCTCAGGTTTAGCAAGTATTCCCTTTTCATTTTTTAGCTTTCTGGCTTTCTTAACAAGATGGTCTGAAACTGAAAATGCATTGCAAGTTTTTTTAATTGACCAACTATCAGGAGTTAATGTTAGTAATTGAACTTTTTCTTCATTCAAACTGATTTTTCCTTTTTCCTTTATTGCATCTAAAAGTTTGTCCAAATCATTACAGTTAATGCACTTTTGCTTTTTCTCAGATATTATTTCTTTTGGGTCTATATCCAATGCTGATGCTACTAGGTTTGTCATACTTATTTCCGGTTTTTTAACTTTTTGCTTTCCATATTCTAATTTGTCACATTTACTTACATTTTTTATAGGAGATATTTCCAGTAGAGAAGCACTCTTTATTTAATTTATGTCTTATTTAGGTCTTAAGAACTAAACTCCTCATCATCAACATCTTTGTCTTCATCTTCTAGACTAAATTTTCCTGTAATCTGTTCAAGTTTGAATTCATTCAAACAGTTAGTGCAAAGTTTTTGACCAGGTATGATCTTAAGTTGACTTGCTGTTAAATTATCAACTTTACACAATCCCTTAATAATTTTTTCTTGTGGACTTTTGAAGCGCTTCATATCTAGAAATATAGGCTTTTTCATGGTGAAAACATATCTCCTCATTTAGTTCAAAAGTGTTTCCAATTCTTTGAATTAAAACTTCAGCATCTGTACTCACAATATCTTTTAGTTTTATTTTTCCAATCATTCTACAATAATACGTTTTGTCACAATCTTCATTTAAAACTTTCCCCACACAACATTTCTCTGTCGTTTTTTACTAAATTTTTATTTTTATTACTAATCTAAAAAGTTTAAAAAAGACATAAACATATTAAATCTCAAAGAAACTAACAAATATCAGACACTGATTATGACATTGATTATGTCATTATTATTAGTACACATTAAGACATTATGTCATTAAAAAGAAAACTGTATATATTCATTCACAGATAAAAAAAAAATATACTACTGTCATCCCTATGACTAATTATTAGACTATGACCTAAGGCTAGCTCATAGTCTAATAACATTCTCCTTTTGAAAATATCATCACTCTCAAAAGGCTACAATCATGTCATAAGATAGAGTTTAGATCTTTAAATTTTTTTTGGTGATTGTCTTTATATAAAACCTCAACATTAAAAAGTTTCATAATTTGTTTCAACTGTTTACGCTACTTTTTATGCCAGCAAAGTCAATGTAATTTATCATAATTTTTAAAAAATGTGATTTTTCAATAGGCTGCTGCATGTGCTAAATTAATTTTTAATGCATAATTTTGATTATTTACTAAGTGGTGACCCTAAGTACAAAAAGGTAACAAAAAAAATCCACTTTCTGTAATTAAGTATGAAACCGTAACACGTTAAAGTTCGAAAAAATATTTATGTTGCAATATTTAGCAACTTTAAGGTACAATAACTCAATAACTGTAGAAAATCAGTCAAAAATAACTGCAATAATGGATTATTTGGGTGAAAAACTATTATCCTACAAAATTTCAGGTGATCACCATCTTTATTTAAAAAGTTATGGTTTGTCAAAAATCGAAAAAAACTGCTGTAAGCTCCTGATACACAAATTTTTTGGATTTTGGTCATTTTTAATTCAATCATAACTTTTGAACAAATTGGTCAATCAAGCTGAAATTTTCTGGATTGTATTTTTTTCATAAGATCTGTGTGTGGTCAAAGTTTAAAGCAAATGGTACACTGGGGATGGTACACTGGGGAACTTTCAAAAAACTAGGTGATTTGATATGGAATAACCCAGTGAGTATAATTTAGTAACAAGGTTAATAATTTTCATCTTCATAATTTCTTGACTCAATTTACAGTTAAATACAATTTACAGTTTTTTAAGTGTCAACTGCTTTTATGATCTTTAACTTTTTTTGTTTATTGTTAATTCCCAACTTTTTTTTTTTTTTAATTTGTAAGAAAATTTGTTTTTAAAAACTTTTTTTAGGTCCCTGGTAATTTGGTTCCTTTTTCACAAATGACAAGAGTAGCACAACAAAAGTTGCAAGGCACTAATATGGCTTCAGTTATGATGCATGGTAAACAAGTAATGGTTCAGGGTTCACCAGGAGTAATTCAAGGTCAAGCCACTTTTATTCCTAATCAAGCAGCATTAATACCTGGTCTGCAAGGAGCTCAAGCAGCCATTATACAAGGAAATTCTATCTTTGTTCAACCAAACCAGTCACTGATAGGCAGCCAACATCAAGGGCAAACTGTAATGATACAAGGGCAAACAAGTAAGCAATACACACTTGCAATATAAATATACTGGACTTTAAGCTTAGAATTTGAACTTGTACCCAATTTTTTTTAGTTTCTTAGTACAGAAGATAAAACTTAAAAAGTTAAATGTATTTTTTTTTGTTTTTTGATATTTTAGAAAATTAGTGAAAAACTTAGTGCAAGTGTAATTATTTAAGTTTAAAATTTATTGGGAATATTTTTTTGTAATGTGTATTAGAGTTGCAACCCCAAAAAAAACAGTGTGTTTTTTTTGCAAAAAAAACAGACTGGTTCTAAAAACATGTTTTTTATAGTTTTTTTTGCTTTTTTTTAGTATTCATTAAATTTTAGATAATAATAATACTTGAAACAGTTCCAGTGCCCTTAAACCTACAAAATGCAAATGTTTTCTATTTAATAAAATGCATATTAACTTATATAATAGCTGTTACAAACTAATCACCAATATTAAAAAAAAAACATTAAATATTTAAAAAAGTAATTTTTTAAATAAATCTCAAAAAAACTATACTATTAGCTACTAGTTGATTGTAAGTATAATACTACTGAATGAAGGAAATAAAAATGTTATTTTAGCAGTGTTATTTCATTCATAAAAATGAATGAAATAACACTGCATTGCAAAATACAAAAATGAACCAACTGTTAAATAAAATTTACTTTAATGTTTTATTTACTTTTGTATATTACTTTTTTAAATTTTTAATATTTAATTTCTTTATTTTATTTTAAATTGCAATTAGATAGCTAAAATTTTATTTATTTAAACAATATTCAAGTAAATAAAAATAACACAATAATTAACTTTGTCTAATGAAAAAACATTTATATTAAACAATTTGTAATCTATTAATTATTTTTAATTAAAAAAAAAAAAGAAATCTAAAAAAAAATATGCCAGGCAATAGAAGACCTTAATGAACAAGAAAGCCAGAATACAGAATCTGTTATTAATTAAAAATAAATCTTTTAAATGATGTACTATATATTTACCATATATCATGTTATTAATATATATTATATTACATTTATAATAAAAATAAAAATTAAATAAAAGTAAATAATTTTTTTTTTAATCTAAAAAACAAAAAAAACCATAAAAAACACAAAAAACACAAAAAAAACATGTTTTTTTTGCAAAAAAAAACACAATTAAAAAAAAACGGTTTTTTTTGCAACTCTAGTTGTGGATGCAATACGGATTTGACTTTACAATAGAAGACCTTAATGAACAAGAAAGCCAGAATACAGAATCTGTTATTAATTAAAAATAAATCTTTTAAATGATGTACTATATATTTACCATATATCATGTTATTAATATATATTATATTACATTTATAATAAAAATAAAAATTAAATAAAAGTAAATAATTTTTTTTTAATCTAAAAAACAAAAAAAACCATAAAAAACACAAAAAAAACATGTTTTTTTTGCAAAAAAAACACAATTAAAAAAAAACGGTTTTTTTTGCAACTCTAATGTGTATGATATTTGAATGAAAAGTGTTTTGTAGTTAATGTTAAAAAAAAAAAATATTAGTCTAATGTATTTTTAAAACAAGAAATATTAGGGTTGTACACTAAATACTTTTATATGTTTTTAGATCAGCATGTTTCAAATTCAGGAACTCTATTACAAGGTCAATCTTTACAAGGGCAAGCTGTTTTTATTCAAGGTCAGCCAAATACTGGTGGAATACAAGGACAAACTATATTGCTTCAGAATCAAGGTGCACACCAAAGCCAAATGCAGTTAATTACAACATCGTCTTCTGTTCAGCAGCAAATACAACTTGTATCTCAAATGAAACAAGGTTTTCTTTTTTGTTAACTTTTTTTTTCTTTTTCTTAAAAATATTTATTTATTACTTTTGAATATATTTAAAATTTAAAAAAATATGAAAATAAAAAAAGTAGTTATTTTATAGTTATTTTTTTTTTGTTAAGTTAATGCAGCATGTTCAGGCTCAAGAGGTACGATTACATCATGTCGTCCGACAGTTACACCGCAAGTTAATCTCATACAAGTGCAACAACCAAATGTTAATCAGCATCAGTATCAACCTATAGTAAATTTTACAGCTCAAACACAAAACCAACAGCCTCGTCCTGTTCTTCAAAAACGGCGTGCATCAGCTCAGCAACCTGCTCCTCCAGGAAATGGAAAAAAAAAACCACCATTAAGCAAACCATCCTCAAACTGAATTTGAATTACTGTTTATAAAATGTTTAAAAATTTTTAAATGTGCATCACAGCAATATATAAGAAAAGAGAGAATAATGGGGTGTTTCTGTGTGATACCAATAACACCATAAAATTATATTGCACTGTTGATCAAATGGCATTACCATACATAGTTATTAATATACTTTGAAGATATTAAAACTGAAAGTAATTTTTAGCATTATTTGTGTCTCATAGTATTTATTATTTATGTTTTCAATATTGTATATAAACACTGTAAGTTTTTACAATTTTATATAAAACAAATATTGAGTTATTTTTATAAATTTTTAGAGATACAATATAATAAAAAACATATAGCTTACTGACTTTTGTTGTTTTAGTTGATTATATTTTTATGTATATGTTTTAAAAACCTTTTATAATTTAATTTTATGTAATATATATATATATATATATATATATATATATATATATATATATATATATATATATATATATATATATATATATATATATATATATATATATTTATATTAACCCTCGGAATTACGAAAAATGAGGCAGTAATTTGCTGACCTCAATTTTTTTGAGCTCAACATCAGGTTGGCAAAAACTATATGATATGGTCTAACCATAAAACATAAAAAAATGAGGTCGGCAAAAAATTGCAGACCTCAAACACTTTCAGACTGGCGTTAGGTCGGCATTGCCAAATATCGACCCTAATTCTGAGGGTTATATATATATATATATATCTGTGTGTGTGTGCGTACACACACTTCCACATACATACTTGCTTTAACAAATTTATGTCAGTACTTTCCTAATATTTAGTACATTTTTAAGTTTTAAAACCTTGATGTTGGCTTAAACAGCTTTTTCAAATATGAATTAAGAAAACAAAAAATAATAAAAAGCAAATTTTTTTTTCTTAATTATATTTCTCCATATCTAGATGCCTTTTCAAACCCAAAATCTTGATGTATGTACTAAAGCCCTCACAGCTGGCTATTTCAGTATGATGTAATCAATGATGTTTCATTGTTAGGCTTAGTTGGCAAAGGTATGTGTGTATATATATGTGTGTATATATGCAAACCTAAGTATGTGTGTATATATGCAAACCTAAAACAATTTTCTTGCATATGTTTTGCAGTTTTCTGACATTTTGTTGTAATACTTATCAATTTTTAGATATTATTTAGAAATATATTTTAGATATGTATAGTGCTTTTTTTTTATTTGTTGCAATTATCTTTTAATATTTTATGTTAGTGTTTTAAATATTTATCATTTTTGTTTAGCATAGAATTTTAATATTTCTTAAAATGGCACAAGATTTTAAGTAAAGTTTTATTAAATTTTGCACTTGCAATAATTTTATTTGTTTCAAAATGGTGAATAATAATTATCTCTTTTAAATAGAATTGCTCGTCCATTAGAATACTACAAAGAGTTTCTTGTAAGTTAACAAAAAATGTGATTTTTGATTTGTAAGTTTTAATTGATTTTTGGTTTGTAAGTCAATTTTTAACATGAAGTTTTTTTTAGAAAGAAAATATTCGACCTGACGGACGTGCATTAGATGAATATAGAAAAACTATTGTTAATATAAGTAGGTTTGGTTTTTTAATAAAATAACATTTTTTAAAATTTTATTCTTTTGTGTTTGTTTTTTTTCATCAATTATTATTTTATTCCTGCTTAAAAATGTATAATTACATAATTACATCACCCAAACTATTGCAATTACCTTCTTTATCTATAGCATTTATGAAACTAAATATTATGTCATCCAGACCAATGTAATTAATTCCTAAATCTATTGCATTAATAAAACTAAAATATATATATTTTTTATAGTTACTTCTTAAAAGATTTTTTTATCTTTTTTTTTTTATTATCTCATTTTCTAAACTTTTTAAAAGATTTATCTCATTTTTTTATACTTAACATATCTCATTTTTTTATACTTAAAAGATTTATTTAATATTTTACCCCATACTGATATCACTGCTAATTTATCTGCTATCACTAATAATGTTTCTGTCTGTCATCATTATCATCATTACCATTGTTGTTGTTATCCTCATCATTATCGTTGTCATCATCATCATCATCATCATCATCATCATCATCATCATCATCATCATCATCATCATCACTGATAACATATATCATATATGCTTATCATTGTATCAGCTGATATGTGCATGTATAGTTACTGTCATTCACAATATATGATTTTTGAAATTAGTTTAATGTTCTTGATTTTAGTAAAGTATTAATAGTTTTCAATTTTATTTTAATGTTCTTGATTTTAGTTTTTACAGTTTTGAATTTTATTTTATTAAGATTCCATCAAAACAGCTTCAGGTTCAGGATTGGTAAGAATAGGAAACACAATTGTTGTATGTGGCATAAAAGCTGTAAGTTTATTTTTGAATTTTTGCTTACCAAATGGTAAGCAAAAATTCAAAAAATTTTTTTAGGAATAAAATATGTTTTAATATAATTTTTTCCTGTTAACAAAAAGTTGTTTTCAAGAATAAAATATATTTAAATTTATTTTATTCCCGTAAACAACTTTTTTTTTCCTTTTTTTGTTCATAGTATTTTGCTATAAAAATATATTTTTTATACCTAATTTTTTTATTTTTATTTAATTATATATAATGTTCAGATAATGTCACAACATAATGCATTAGGTGCGCCATGTTATAGGTCAAACAAAGTAAAAAAAGCGTTTTTTAACTAACTTTCCGGTTACCAATAAAATTTAGTGTTAGAAAAGTTATTATTTTGAATTTTTGTAGAATCTTATGATATAGTCAATTTATTTGTCATCAAACTAAAAACTAATATAAAATATTTTGTTTTCTAAACACTGTTAAACAAAGTATTTAACCTTTACAATAAAATAAACTTATATAATATACTCCAAAACATTTACAATCTTATATCAATAAATTTAGTAATTTAATTTTTACATTTTTTAGTGATACATTATAACACATTTGATTTGATTTTGTTTTGAGTTTGCTAACTTATAAAACTCATATAGAGTGAACTTATTTTAGTTGTTTAAGCATCATAATCAATTAAGTTGTTTTAATAATTTTAAATTTTATGTATATAAATAATATGTTGATCACTTTTTAATTTTCTTAAGTATCTTAGAGTTCATTATAAATTTTATAACAATAATAATGGACAACAATCAAAACTACAAATTTAGAGTGTCATTTTTGACATGTCATCAACACTCATTCAAAAAAACCCTGAGTTGATAATCAAAATGATTAGTCATTACAAATAAATGGAAAATCTTTTTTTATGATAAAAGTCAGCTGGAGAAGAAGATAGTTATCCTATTCGTGGAGGATTTTGAGTTTTTGTGACATTTTAGCTGTTTATGTTTTTATTTTTGCGTTTTATTAAAACAAAATTTTTCAATATACTGTTATAGCTTGAAAAAATAATTTCTCTAGAATTGCTTATCCAATTAACTTGATGGTTTTACAGCAACTCGGTACAGAGATCTATCGTATCTACCAACAAAAAAACAATTAAGTTCTTATTATTGACTTAATTTTGTGCAATTTTTGTGGAACATTTGCTTCATAATTTTCTTTATAGTTATTAAGAATTCATTCTGGACACTATAAGTCAACAAATTTTGGGGGATTTTTAATTGTGTACAATATATTTTAATTATTAATTAAAAAAATAGGTTTTATAAAGTCTTAAAATATTTCTTTTTTCAATAGGAGCCATTATTTATGGATAATCCTTTTTTGTGGGAGAGAATGAGCCCCCAAAAACATAGTAACAATTGACAATAAACTCCTCAACGACAAAAAAATGGTCTTCATCAAACCACAAAATTTTTATTGGAATAAACATGTTATTCAAAGAGTAACAAATCTGAAATAATTATATCATAGTTATAATTTCATGAATTATCATAAATTCATAATTATAATTTCATAAATTTCAAATCTGAAATAATTATATCATAATTATAATTTCATAAATTATCATAAATTAATGACACAAGATTTTAATAGATAATTTTAATAGTTAATTATTATTTATTATCTAAATATAGATATTATAGTATTGCCAGATGTCCAGCTTTCATGAAGAAGAACACAGTAAAAATAATTATTTTTATAGCTTCGGAAGTGTATTCTCTGACGTAAAAGCTGGGCATCTGGCAACCCAATGAATGTTGTTTCAATTTATGTACATCCTATTAGCTTATCTCAACATATAAAGTTTAGGATAATTACTACTAACCAACTTTTTTCTTATAAATAGTCAAATCAAATCATATACTAAGCTGATTATGTTCTTTAACTTTCCCTGAAAGTTAAAGAACATAATATTTCATAAAGTTTTTAAATTTATGTGTCGGGGAAAATCAATCAACATTTATATTGATTTATATATATATATATATATATATATATATATATATATATATATATATATATATATATATATATATATATATATATATATATATATACGCATATATATATAAATGAAAGCAACTCATTAATTTATTTAGCATGTTCATACAATCAAAAAATATTAACTGTGTTTTAGTTATGCAATTTGAAATTAGCAAATTAAAAGCAAAAGCAAATCTAATGCGTTATAATACACTTCAGGTCTTCAAGATATACAAAAGTTCTTCAAAATGTAAAACACAACTAGTAGAGTTCATTGACAATTTTGTGAATGTTTTAAACATTTTTTAATGTTTTGAAATATACAGTTCTTAGTATTATACAAGTTGGAATTTGAAACATTAAATTATTAAAAGAAAATTATTAAAAGAAATTTGTTTATATTATTATTAAAATGAAACTCTATTAATATTATTTTTAAGATGAAACTAAGATAAAAATTTTATTAAAATTTTACAAAAAGTTATAAAAATTATTAAATTAGAGAGATAAGAAAATTTATAGAAATTATTAAAATGAAATTCTAATAATAATAGAGTTTTAATTTAAACAAAAATAAATCAATGACATCACAAGATAGAGAACTAAATTTTTCATAAATTTGATTAATGATAACCTTTAAAAACAAATCCACCTAAAGATATATCTAAATATTGTTAATTCATACATTTTGCTAATAAACTCTTGCAATATTTACTTTTGATTGCCATACAATATGGTAGTCACAATTTTTAAACAACGCGTGATTGAACACTATTTATACACACTTTTTAGTAAACAATGTATATAGTTTTTGTTATTTGTTTTAACAGGAGCTTGCTGAACCATCTGTAGAAAAAACTAATGAAGGATATTTTGGTATTATATGTATTTTTTTTTTTTTTTTTTTTTTTTATACTTTAAAAAAAAAAACTATTTGAACATAATTGTTTTAATAATATGATTAATAGTCATTATTATCATATTAATTAACTGTTTTTTATATAATTGACTATTATTTATAATATTAAATTTAGTTATAATTTATTTAAATTTAAGGTCATAACACTGACATTATACATAAAAATTAAAGCATGTGTTTAAATTAAAACAAAACACAACATAAAGAAAAATTAAAACAAGAAAACTAAAGGTAGAAAAAAATGTTTTTTTATCAGCATACTTTCAAATGGAATTTTCTCTGAAAATTCACTTCTTGCTAAACTAATTAGATTTCATTGTTGTGATTTATTTATTTAGCAATCATAAAAAATGTCACAATCAACAAAGTTTTCATACTGAATTATTCTACAGGAAAAAAGATAAGTTCAATGATGCAATGTTATATAATTAAAATCATCTTCTTTTTTTCGATGTTTGCATATGTTATAGTTTCTACTGAAACTATATACAAGCACTTGTCTTATGATACTTCGGACAACAGTTTGCAAGTGTTTTCTAACTATTTCATACCTTTGCATACAACACATTTGTCATAGGCACATATCACAAGTTGCAAACAAAGTTTTTTATTATTTCAGATTCATTTTAAATTGATTTCATTAGTGTATCTACGGCTATTTTTATGCAAGCTACAAACACACATTATGCAGAAATTTTCTAACAGGTTTCAAATTGCGTGGACACAGACCTCAAAATTTGCTGATTTATTTCCTGAGTTTTCTTTTATCATAAAATATAAGTGACATTTTTTTTTTTCAGGCAAATGAATCTGAATGAGATCTTATATATTGGGGAAATTTCTTCATTATAAAAGTTTACCACTGCTAAAGCATCACTTTCAGAAAGTCCATCCAGTTTGAACATGTTGGAGGACTTTCTGAAAGTGATTCTTTACAAGCTATTACTATTTGAAAAATTAAAAAGAAATTCAGCTTTTTTCCATTGAATTTGATAATGCTTCTAAAATTTTCAAATTTTATAAATAAAATTTTCAATGCTTATGTGTTGAAATTTTTTAAAAGATGAGCTCTTACTTTGAGGGTTTTTTTGTAAGTTTTCATTTTAAAGAGCAACTTTTTACAACTTTTATTTTTACTTTAGCAGAATAATTTTATTATCATTTTTTTCTTACTAATTTTGATTCAATTTCTTAAAGGGATCCCAAACTCCTAACACATGTTGTGTTCATATTAAAGATAATGTTAAAAAAAAAAGGTTTGAAACAATTTTTTTTGATTAAAAATCAATAATGAATGCATACTGAGTAAAACTAACCTTATTGTTTTAGCCAAAGCTCGCCTTCTCCATTTTTTTCAATAACTTGGAGTCTTTAAACTATACGTCGCAATTTACAGACTTTGGCGGTTCCTTTGAAGCATGTTTAATTCATAAAAGTTTTAGTATTTGACATCACGATAGACTTTAGACAAATAAAACACTGGAAAAATTTTTATTTTATTTTTTATTCCTAAATTTTTTCATTATTTGTTTAGTTATTTATTTTCTACTTTTTACATTTAAAAAGATATTAAAAACTATAAATATTTTATGTTGGTTCGTTGCTATAAATTGTTATTGGTTACAAAATATTGAACAGTAAACTTATAATCGAAATTTATAATGCCGACTTGTGCTGTTATTGGTTTTACTTGTAAATTACAAGTACATCCAATAACAGCACAAGTCGGCATTATAAATTTTGATTATAAGTATACTGTTCAATATTTTATAACCATCAAATAAAAAACATGAAGTACGTATATTTTTGCCCGTTTAATACAATAACATTTAACAAAAATACAGACAAACTATTATTAACTAACGCTATAATTAACACATTAATTAATGGCAATTCAAGTTAGATGGTAGTTTAAATTGTCAAAATGTCGTAACGCGTGTTAAAAAAATATTATATTTAATATTGTAATACATGTTGTAATGCAAAACCAGAATCTCACAAGTCCTCTAACTAATTTTCATATCTGATACTACTGTCAATTGTATTATTTAGTTTATTCTTGTAATTTTTTTCATAACCTTTACAGGTTCTAATTGGTATGGAGTTGCCGACATTTTGAAAGTTTCTTAATCAAAAATCAAATGCAAATTTTAATGATATTTTCTTTTTATCCATATCCAATTTAGCAAATTTAGCAATTTAAATCAAATCAGTGTAATCAAAAATTTTTTATAATAAAAAAATTTAACTGTTTATCAAATATTTCTAATTAATACTTTCAGTTAATTAAAGTAGTTGTTAATACTTTTTTTTGACCGGAAAACAAAAAATATCATAGTTTAAAAATGACCAGAGAAGTTAGAAAATAGTTCCAATTGTTTAAATGAAAATAAGTAAGATTCAGAATATATAATACTGCGCTTTCTTGCACAAAAACAAGAGACCGTATACATAACGTTCTATATAATGTAAAACACTCGTATGAAAATCATAAGATTTGTAAGTAAAGCTTTAATATTTGTAAGTAAAGCTTTAATATTTGTTTTAATTTAAAAACAAAAGAATTATAAGTAAGATATATAAATCTAAAAATTAATAAGGTAAAAATTAATCGGTAAAAAAAAAGTTGCTCCTATGAAATAAAAATATTTTATTATTTTTGATTTTTACAAAAATTTGTTAAAGTTGTTTTGCTGTATGTTAAAAAAATACTACATTGTACTTTTTGAATTAAAGTAAAAAAACGCAGCTTTGTTTAATTACACTTTTCATTTGTTAAAATTCTACCGTGACGTCAAATGCTAAAACTTTTATGAATTAAATGCGCTTCAGAGGAATTGCCAAAGTCTGTAGATTGCGATGTATAATTTAAAGACTCTGAGTTATTGAAAAAAATGGAGAAGGCAAGCTTTAGCTAAAACAACAAGATTAGTTTTTCTCGGTATGCATTTATTATTTATTTTTAATTAAAAAAACTTGGTTCAAACCTTTTTTTTAACATCATCTTTAATATGAACACAACATGTGTTGGGAGTTTGGGATCCCTTTAAAAATGTACTAATTTATAAGAAAATGTAAACATTAATCCAATATTTTACAAATATTTTCTGATAGCACTTTGCAACATTAAAATGCAAATTTTGTTTGATTGAAAATCACAACAATATCTAAACTTTATAATGGTATTTTGACTACAAATCAAAACTAGACGCAGACGCGACAGAACGAATTAAAACTCTTTGATTGAGTTGGATGGCCACTCCTATATTATTAGTGACTTAGTGATTTGGTGAACGCGAGTGAACAGCTCATTTGAGTGTTTATTTTTTGTTTAAGCATTGCAAACGCTACTACTTCCTTTAACTACAATCATCTTATTTTTTAAAAGGCTAGTTTTCCCTTTGATGGCTCCAGTGATACTACAGCTTTTAGCTTTTTTTTAACTTATAGTTGTAAGTTAACAAAATGATTTTCAACCATTTTTAGAAAAGCGATACAAATTATGCAGTCTTCTCTGTTTGAAATTTACTGCCAACGCATGAAAAAGCGCTGACCGGAGAGTATTTATTTGTCTGACATACGCAATTTTAAAAAATATTTGTTTTTTGCAAAAGTACTCTTCAAATGGAGAAGACTGTCTATAATCTAATTTTATATTGTTAATTAAACGTTTTTATCTTTATGTTCAGTGATGCAATCTAATTTTTATAGATGTGTATGTGATGAAATCAAATTTTTATAATCCAGAAATTCTTTACTCATGTAATATGTTTAATCTCAAAGAACTTTTTTAAACAAAAATGTGGTTATGTTTTGTTTAAAATGTTGAAAAACTTACCCTCAAATTTTACTCACTATTTCAAATAATAAGACAGCTAACAACTCAGCAAATTTACCTAGTCTGTTCAGATATTTTCTACTCAAAGTTTTTTTTAACAGAAATTCCAAGGTGTTTACAATTAAAGAAAAAAAGCTTTTAGAAAAAAAAAATTTTTTCACAAGAAGTTATCTTTTCTGTAGTTGAAATAGTCAAGTATAAAATTATATTTCTGTAGTTAGTAGTACCAAAAAATATTTGCAGTATGCAAATATTTTTATAGATATATGCGCACACATATTAAAAAGGAAATTTTTTTTCTAAAGTATGCTAAACCTCAAAAGAAGCAAAACAAAATAAATGATGTTTTTTAAAATAATATTGGTTTCTTTTAGTACCAAATGTTGATCTACCAGCGCTATGTTCCCATGAGTTTCGTCCAGGTCCTCCAAGCGATCAGGCTCAAGCTATGAGTCAACTTGTTGCTGAAACTGTAGAAAAGTATTTATTAACATTTGCTAATTTTGTTTAAAATGTTAAAAGAAATTATTGTATTTACTTTTATTTTCTGCATCTTTATTTAGCTGCAAACTAATAAATCTCAAGAAACTTTGCATCAAAGAAAAAAAGGTTAGTATAGAATAACACTTTTTGGAATTTTGTTACTATATTATCATTTTTTTAAATTGAATTGTTTTTTATTAATTTTTTATTATTGTTATTATTATTATTACTAGTATTTTTTTTGAAATTTACTAATATGGGGGAAAAAAGTTTCAGATTATTTTTCATTTTGCTAAAAAGAAAACTTTTCATAATATTTCAATGTGACTAGCACAGATCATCATTAGAAATAAAATAAAATCAAAAATGATAAATAAATCATAAAAAATTTAAAGGAATAAACAAATGTAAATATCAGGGTTTAAAAGAGTGGTGACCCTTATTTAAGATTTCAACACAAAAAAACTGAGAACTGATCAACTAGTTACTTCAATTTGTCCAAGACCATCAAAGCCAGTTTCCTAACTCATTAAATATCAATCTAATATTTATTTAAAATAATCCAACTAAAGAATCCACTAATACATCTGATGAAGTTACCAGGAAGCTGTTACAATGCACAAGCTGCCATTGGTCTTTATACTCCTAATGATAATAAATAAAAATGAATCTTTTGAAAGTAAAGATTACTGGTCTTTTGGAAGTGCCAATTAAAGCATTTTCAAATACAGCTCTAATAACTACCTCCATTACATGTTAGAGACACCAAATGAAGATTGTTGTTCAGTTTTAGCTTGATCAATGAACATTATACCAGAACAACGATCATTTTAAGTTGTATAGAAATACAATGCAAACATAAACAGGTTACAAACCTTATCTTTTACATCCAACTCTGTTTGACTGGAGCTGCCTGGGCTTTACCTATTCCTAAAAAATTGTTTAGAATAACTAACTTTTGTTTGACTCCAAAATCTAATATTAGAACTGAAAAACAGTCTATGTTTTCATGAGATATCAAAGCTTTAATGAGGTTATCATTCCAATAAACAGTTAAAAGTTGTTAAAAATTCAGGTTATCTGATTTAGTACCTTGATAGCTTGCACTAGCACACGATATTGAGTTCCTATTGTTATTAAACATTCTTATTTAAAATCAAAATTTACTTTTTACTTTTATAAAACTTATTAAGTTTATGTAACAAACTTCTTATTACAAAACTAATAAAGTGCAAACTGGTTATGGTGTTACTATCCAAACTGCTGCATATAAAATTTGCTACACAAATCAGGTGCAATTAGCAACCGGAATGAAAAAATCAATTATTTTACATGATTTACAATAAGCAAATCATTCAAGCTAGCATTAATGATTAGTTGAATATCTGACAAATAAATTCCTTACATACTGGAACCACTACAATTTTTTGTGATTTAACTAGAATATTGTACTTTTTTTTTAAGTGATAAAAATTAATATTTAAATTTATTTCACATTACCATTGTCATTCAATCTACTTCTACATTATACAAATAAATGATATATCCCAGGTTTAAAAAGCATTATGGAATATGAAAATAGTGTATATTAGTTAATGCTCACTGATTGTTTTCTTGTTTTTATAGCTATGCTGGGTTATATATGCTGACATTATTTGTATTAGCCATGATGGCAACTTGATTGATGCCATTATTGCATCTTTATATATTGCACTTCTAAACAGTAAGTTATTACTTACTTTAAATTTGTTAACCAAAAATGATATAGAAAATAGTTTGAAAAATGTTAAAGTTAAATAATATTTTCATAAAAAACCCTTACTTATTAATAATAATTTTGAATATTATCTAGCAAAATTGCCTGTTGTTACAATCAATGAAGAAACTGGTTCACCTGAAGCATCACCAACAGAACAATTTACTTTAGAACTTACTACAAGATTAAGTTCTACAACTGTGGAATTGATTGATAAGTAATAACCATAACTTTAAATAACGCGTGTGTGTGTGTGTGTGTGTGTGTGTGTGTGTGTGTATATATATATATGTATACACATAAATATATATATACACATAAATATATATATACACATAAATATATATATATATATATATATATATATATATATATAAACACACACATGTTATTATACATATGTATATATATAATATACATATATATATATACATACACATATATATATACATACACATATATATACATATATATATATATATATATATATATATATATACATACACATACATACATACATTTATATATATATATATATATATATATATATATATATATATATATATATACACATGCAGATATATATATACACATGCAGATATATATATATATATATATATATATATATATATATATATATATGTATATATATATATGTGTGTATATATATATATATATATATATATATATATATATATATATATATATATATATATATATATATATATATATATATATATATATATGTATATATATGTATATATATATACACATGCAGATATATATATATACACATGCAGATATATATATATATATATATATATATATATGTATATATATATATATACATATATATATATATATATATATATATATATATATATATATATATATATATATATATATATATATATATATATATATATATATATATATATATATGTATATATATATACACATGCAGATATATATATATACACATGCAGATATATATATATATCTTATACTGCTGAGTTAGGTGAGCAGTGTGACGTCATACTGAAATAGTCTGCTGCTGGGGGCAATTGAAACAATTAAAACCAAATGATTTTATTAAAGAATGTTTTAAACTTTCTTGAATTAGTAAGCTCTTGGTGGATCCAACATATGAGGAGGAACAACTATCTTTATCTTCTTTGACCATAATTTTAGGCGATGAAAAAAATATCATATCCATGTACAAACCAGGTATTTTTTAAATTTTTATGTAAAGCTTCAGAACTTTGGTTACACCTATAATGAATAATTTGGTTTTTCATTGATTTTATTTAACTATTTTAAGTTTATTGTCTCAAAATTTGAGATGATTAATTACAATACATGACAGTTACATGGTCATGGATTTGTCAAGTAATTCTTAGTTACTAAATAGCTTTTTTCAAAAATGTCATTAATTTTTTGTAATTATAAATTATTTTATTAGTTTATTTAATTATTTAATAGACGATATTCGAAATTAATTTTAAAAGGGGAGAAATATTTTTCCGTGTGTTTATACATAAAAAAAGTAGATATAAACAATGCAAAGTGGAAATAAGTGATAAGATAAACAAATTAGTTATTAAGATATCTAATAACAATTTGGCAATTTTTAAAAGTTTGTTTTTAAAACAAGAATAAAATATTTAAAAATATACAGCTTTTTCTCTAAAATTAGGTTTGTAAAGTAAAAAATTAAAAATAACATCCTATGGCTGGATAATGGATTAGAAACTTCAACAACTTTACACAGTATTAAAGATTTAGATGAACTAATGTTTGACTTAGATTAAACCAAAGTATGTAGTATATAATAATGTTTGTGGAACAAAAAAATTACATTCTACTTTATTTTAAAAACAAACAAAACACTATCTACATATTAAACAAATATATAAATTTTATATATAATACAATATATTCATATATATAGTATATATTTGTATATATGTGTGGGTATATATATATATATATATATATATATATATATATATATATATATATATATATATATATATATATATATATATATATATATATATATATATAAACTATCAAAATATTATTTGCATGTGGAAGTATAGTCAGTGGCAATTCATTACTTATAAGACGAAATGTTTTTAATCTTCCGATAACTTGTTCCGCAAGAATTCTAGTTTTAGCAATTGAACTTGTTTTCTTAACTTCAAATTGTGTCATTTATGATGTCTAGTGTCATTTATGATGTTCCTCACCGACTAGGTGGTACAGTAAAAAATAAATGTTGAGGAGTACATTCATCATGCAAATTAAACTCTTTGTCTGTCATAACTATAGAAAAAGGAGTTAAAAAATTAAGAAAACCACAATCCATAATTAAGTCAGATATGCAACCAGTATAAGCTTCTGATATATAAACAATAAAAGAATTAGGAGCAACACCTATTAAAAACTTTAAAGTATTGTGGTGTTTATATTCAGACCAAGTAACACTTTGTAATTCCAAATTTCTTGGGGTTTGTATGAAAATTTCTAAACAGTCAATGATAGCTGCCTAATTTTTATATTTTTTACATCGTAAAGGGTTTGTTGCATTTAACGTGCCAAGGTCTGGTACAAATATTAGGTGCTTACAAACTTCTGCTAATATTATTATCCAAGAATAAAATATTTTGAAACATGTGCTAATAGAAATATTAAAACGACTAGCAAGATCTTTGTTAAATGATCCTAATTGAAGTTTCATTAAAGTCAGCAGAAACTTATCTTGTGAACATAATTTTCTTGCGCGTCCTACTTTTTTTAGTGTTCCACTGACAGTCTTTTAACAGGAACAGAATTAAATTGTTTTTTAACATATGGGCTAATAAAGTCGTGCTATTTGTTAAATAACTCTAAAGAACCAAGATTCGTATAGAACTTTATGTTACTGTTTGATAGGATCTTACATACAGATATAGGCTTAGTTGTTTGCATTATAATTTTGTTTTATAGTTTAATATTTTCAGCTTTTAACTTCTTTATTTCTAAATAACAGTTGATAATTAAAGCATAAAGTGTTAAAATTTAAAAGACCATTTGAGTCAAAATAATTTAATTGAACATTATTTGAATATTAGTATTTGAGACTAGGGATTGCAATCCCGCACACTTTTCAATCCCACGGGATCCGCGCGGATTTTTTAATTTATGTGCGGATCCCGTGCGGGGTTGGTAGATTTCTTATGCACGTTATAAAAGGCAAAATGATAATTGTATTTTTCTTTCAATTATTTCAGAAAAAATATACTCAACTTATTAAATTGATAAGATGAGGTAAATGAAGCCAAAAACACAGTTCATTTGTAAATCAATATATTTCTTAATTTAATGAACAAAAGGATAAGATAAAAATACGTAAAAAGTCTTTTAGCTTTACGTAGAGCGTCTTTTAGCTTTACTTATTTTTAAAAATAAGTATGAGAAAGTACCATTGTAAGAAATGCGCTCTTAACAAACAGACCCTACTTAAAGTATTATCAAATTATCTACTCCTCAAAGGAATGCATATATAGCCAGCAGCTGAAAAAGCTCGCTCGGCCTCTACGCTTGTTGGTGATATGGTCATCAAGTAATTATGAGCTATATCTAGAAACTTGCCTCTTACTCCGTTATTTTCATAGGCAGACATTTCCTACTTCAATAATTTATCAAAGTCTAAAGAATCTAAATTTGGTATCTCCTTTACATTTTCTGTTCATTTTCTTGTCTTTCTGTATATGATTTTCCAGTTCTTTTTTCAGCGATAGAATTGTAGGAGTAAGTATTTGGGAATTGTTAATAGAATTTACAGCTTCTTTTTCTTCGAGTTCATTTTCTTCGTCTTTATTTCTTTCAATTGTATTAATTCTTGTCAATATTTTTATTGTTATTGTTATTGAAAACTTTTGATTTTGCTTTTTTAGTGATATAAATTTTTGCATTATATCGGCTTTTACAGAATCTAAGAATTTTACTGCCATCGATCTTATAGTATTAGGTGAAGTAGGGAGCCGGAAACCACTCTTTGAAAACAAATACCGCAAATCTGAAGATGTGCAAAAACTATTAAATGTAAAGCCATCTTTAGCAACCATGCGCGATACCATTTTTTCCATAGAAAGTTCTTTTACGAAAAACGTCTATTGTTTTGACCTTTTTTGATAGAATTACCTCTTCGTCTTTGTAATCGATGTATATTTTAGACTCTAGTTCAACTGATTCATGCTGTTTTGAAGTTGAAGCTCCGTCTTGTTGTAAAACGTTTAATTTTAAATCAGTTCCATGTTTAGTTTTTAAATGGATTAATAACCCTTTTTTTTGATCTTTGACTAATTTTTAAAATAGCCGAACATAACATGCACTTCGCATTTTCTCCTTCATTACTTTTTTTAAAATAATTCCATATAGTTTTAATTTGCGACGTGCTTAGTAGGTACTTTTGTTTTAAAATCTTGATGTAAATAATTTTTGAAGTCTTTTTAAAAAGTAGTGCGCTTTTTATTAATCACGTTTTCAATTTAACGTTTTCAACATACTCATCAACAAAAATTTTAATATACTCATTAGGAAAAATTTCAACATAGTCATTAACAAAACAAAAAAAATTTGAACGAGTTTCTCAGTATACATTTCATTGCACACTTAATGACTATTTTATGACTAATCATTAACAAAACAAAAAAAAATTTGAACGAGTTTCTCAGTATACATTTTATTGTGCATTTAATGACTAGTAAATTTTTAAATGAATTTGTTATGCAAATACATTAAATACTTTAATTTGACGTCTTTTTCGTCTATGTTTAGAGAATTGCTTTTTTTTTATTTAAAAGCAATAATTTCAAATCTCAGCAAATCCTGCGGATCCCGCAGTAGTTTTTGCGGGATCTCGCATGCGCTAATATAATGTGGGATCCCGCGGGATTGCAATCCCTATTTGAGACAAACTGACTTTTTGATGCTAAAGTAACAAGATCGTCTGTCAGTATTTCTGATGAAAAAACAGGAAAAACTTTATTATGCATTATCGAAGTGTTTTCGCTATTATTTGCTTGGATTTCAGTTATGCAAGTATTCTTTAAACTTTTTTTTTTTTTTAAACAAATTAGCATTTATTCTATTAACTGCTGTAATCACAGATGCAGTTTTACAAGTAGAGGCGGATATAGTGGCGGTTTTTGTTGAAAATGAATCAGAAAGCATGTTGTTATTTCGTTTATTTGTTGGTCGATTATAATTAGATGAAACAGAAGGAACCAATTGTCTTATTTTATTTAATGCATTGTATCCCAATAGCTCTGTAGCCTACAGTGTCCTACAGTATCCTACATTGTAGGATATTCATATTTTTCATTAATAAAATATTGTGAACAAACTCTACTGTACTTAGTAGCTTTCCATTGAGATTTGTCTGAATTTACCCGATTTGTCAATTTTTTCCAAACGGATCGACGCTCTGTTTCTTTTTTTTCAGTAGGTAAAGGAATAAGTTTAAATGGTTCAGAACAGCAGCACTTAGGATCTTCTCTTGAACATTTATGATTTTACAAATAACTTTTTTCCTTTTTTAAAGTTTGGTTGAGTGATTGGAACAACTAATGACAACACAAGAAAGTGATGTAGCCATATTAAGCAAATAATTAAACTAATATAAACAAAATCCAATGTTACTTCTTATGCTGTTTGTTTATTTTATTTATTCTATATTTACTTTTTTGTGTAAAATACATACGCACGAAAGATTCAAATTTCTTATTATTCCGGAATTAAAAAAATTTCGAATATCGTCTATTGTATTATAAATAATTATTACTTATTAGTATAAATGTATAATTAATAATAAATAGTTCATTAAACTTTGAGATTATTAAGGGAAATGAGATAGAGCCACAGTTGCTTGTAAATAGGGTTAATAAAATGTATAATACAGAATAAAGGCTGTTTGTAGAAGTGGAGTCGATCTTTTCTTAAATAAATTTTTTAAAAAGATGATAATTACAAATAACAATCAGATCAAGCTCGTATAAAGGGTTAATAAAAAGTATAATACAGTATAAAAGGTGTTTTTGAAAGTGAAGTTAATTTCTCTTAAATTTTTAAGATAACAATTACATATTGCAATCAAATCATTTTATGTTAAAAGTTCATTAAATATATTTAGGTGGTTGTAGTGTGAACGAAGACTCAGTGCGTACTTGTATAAAATACGCAATCCATCGTGCTGAAGAACTTGATAGTTTAATTCATGAAGCTAGTGAATGTATTGATAGGTCAATATAACTTTATGTTTTAATCGATTTCTTGTAAATAATGTCGCGTTTAATAAAATATTTTTAAAAAACAGCATTTTTATTTGAATAGAGTCTACTTCGCAGAAGGCGTTGACACCGAACGGAATTGTTATAACTGTCAGGTTTTAAGATATGTTAGTTTTAAAAAAATGTAAAAAATAAAACTGTCTAAAAGTTGTCAAAATAACACTTTATATGATAAAACTTTCTAATTCATTATTCACTGCAAAATAAGCCTTGCATAGGCTAACAATTATTATTTTTAACTTAAATTATAAATAAGCCAGAAAAAATACAGCTGTTCGTACAAAATTTTTTCCTATAAATTCAAGTTGCTCTAGATTTATCAAAAAAATTTTAACTTTTATCTTTTAGATTTATCAAAAATTTTTTAACTTTTAAAGAAATGATTTTATTCTACATATATTTAATGATTTTAAATTTTTTACAAAAGTAAATATTTAAATAAAAAGAAGTATAAAAGCGGATTTGCATTGTGTTAATAATTTTGTGATAAAATAAATCAAGACTTTATCGCTTTTATTTCTTAATTTGTAAAATAATCTTTAGATAAAGTATAGAGAGTAAGTCTGCGTCCACTGATGACTCATTTGTGGCCCATCAAAAATACGGATTTTTAGTTTAATCCTAGAAACTTGCTTAAAATAAAATTAAAACGTTCACCACTTTTGTCAAGTAATTAACTTTCAGCTCTTTCCACACTGAAATAGAATGTCCCATGTCCCATGAAATAGAATGTGCAATAGCTATGGTTCTGTAGTTGTTACCGTTATGAAGCAAAACGCGCTTTAAACTTCTTTTGCATTTGTCGGTAAAAAGACATCAATTAGTAGTTTAGTATTTTTTAACCCATTTGTTGCAAAATACAACCAACGTTGTAATAAAAGATGAAATCCTTCTCTAAAGATAAATACTGTATAAAATTCGTATCTCGTACAATAAAAAGTGATATACGGAGTAGGCACTTTTTTTTCTTATAAACCAGATTTCAAAACTTGTTTCTGAAATAAAATGTACCTGTCAGATCACTTATTTATTTAGTTTTTTTTTCTAATTGGTTGAGGTTCTGAAGGGCTACGGGCTTTGAGGTTCTTAGGCTTTAATTTTTGTTTTGGTTTTCAATATATATATATATATATATATATATATATATATATATATATATATATATATATATATATATATATATATATATATATATATATATATATATACTTTACCAAGCAATATTTAAAACAAACAAAAAAAATTTTTTTCTTCTAAAAAATCCGAAAAGTAAAAATAGTAATTGAAGTTAAAAGCTGTTAGGAAAAAAATTGTTGTTATACTTGAAAAAAATATTTGTTCAATTAAAGAAACAAAGATAAAATCTCAAGTCTTTCATCACAAATTTTTTATGGCTTTACAATTTTGACAACGTTTAATAACGATACGGCATATAAGGAGAAAAATAGCTTGCTACTTTAAAATCTTTTCTTATATCGGTGATTATTGATGTTGCAGCAATATTAAAAATATTATAAAGGGTGTCCCAAAATTAAAGATTTTAATCAAATAGAAAGCACAGTTTTTGATCTTTTGATTGTAATTTTTTTATTGAATCATAAAGTGCATAAGATGAGGGTTATTTATGGAATAGCACATAAGGCTAATGGCCTTCACGGCTTTCCATACACATACGCACTCGTTTGCCGAAATTTTACATGACTATTCTGCATAAATGTGGCTGAATTTCGGTGATGCAACGTTGAATCTACTCCTTTAACGCACGTGTGGTTGTGGGCTTGTTGACATAGATCTGTATTTTTAAATAACCCCATAAAAAGAAATCTAATGGTATTAAATCACACGATCTAGGGGGTTAATTCTGATTACCGAAACATGAGTACACGACTTAGAAATGTCTCATGCAGTATTTGAAGTGTTTCACGGGCTGTATGGCATGTGGCGCCGTCTTGTTGAAACCACATATTAGCCACATCAATATCATCCAATTTTGGCAAAAAAAAGTGGGTTATCATGTGATGAAAAAAACTGGGTTATCAAGCACCAGTAACAGTCACTGCTTGACCAGCCTCATTTTTAAAAAAAGTATGGTTCAATTATGCCTCCAACCCAAAATCTACTCTAAACAGTGACACGTTATAGATGCATCTATTTTTCGACAGTCACATATGGGTTCTTAGAACCTTAAAAACCGCAATTTTGGCAATTAATAAACCCATCAAGGTAAAAATTTGCTTTGTCACTTAGGATAATTTTGCTCAAAAAATCAGCATCCATTTGTTAATGTTCAATAATTCATTCAACAAGCTCTCTTTGCTGTGCATGGTCACTAGGCTTCAGTTATTGTATTAATTGAATTAATGTAAGCATGGAGACACAAATCTTTAGTGTTTATACGCTGTAGAGAGCTTCTTGAAATTTGTACTTTTTGTCCACAATGCCAAATTGAGGTTCCTGGATAGTAACCGACACTCTTACGCACTGCTTCGATATTGACATTTGAACAACTTGTTTTTGGACAACCAGTGTATTTGGCATCTCCAACGGATGCTGTCTTCCGGAAATTTTCAATTAATTTCCTCACATTTGAAGTTAAAACACTATTTCGACCATGTTATGTATGAAAATTTTGAACTGCGGCCGCCAAGCTTTCAATACTTTTAAAATATTGTTCAATAATGAAAACACGTTGCTCTATTGTGTAACGTGCCATTTTTACTAACCCTAAACTGTGAGCTGTCGATTTGTTTTTTTTAGGGTTGTCAACACTTTACTACATAAATGGCGGCAAATTTAAACTTTGCGTTAATTTTGGGACACTATTTTAATACAGCTGATTCCTCATGTATTATAGTCATTTTATTTTGCTCCTAACTTGGTTTTATTTGGTTTTTCAAGTATCTGGTAACCAATGATGCCAACATTTCAAGTTTTTCATCTTGTTAACAAGAGTTTTTGCATCGTTCATTAATTGTGTAGTATTATAATGTGTGTTGCATCATGTTTCAATGTTTTACTCAAGATTCAAAGATCAAAATTATACTCAAGATTCTAAACTGTAATGAGATGTGATGATAATATATGTATTATTATTTGCTAACATTAAAAAGTTAAGAAAAATTTATAAAACAATTGAAAAACTTAATTTTTTTTCATTTTTTATTTAAACTTCTTTTTTTTTAGCTTCTTTATGAGCCATTTTTCGTTTTTCCTTACTCTATAGACAAATGGATTCTTTATAATCTCAAAAACCAATTCGGATTGCAGAAATCTTTTTTTTTAAATTCTCATATTAGGGTGCCGAAGAAAATCTAATGTGATGTAATAGAAGACATGAGCAATCAAAATGTTTGTCTATTTAGCAATTTACTTGGGGTTTAGCAAAATGATAGAATCTTTTTGGATTCATTAATTGTATAAAATCATCGAATGAAACCAAGATCAACATTCACTATATTGAGTGGTTCTTTGGATGGCTCAGAGTTTTTCAGATACTTAAATATTTTATTCCACAGCCTCTCCGTTGTTTCCGTAAGTAATTTTTTGGAAATTGTGATTGATGGTTTCAATTTTTTCTTTTAAACCATTAACTTGTCACCAGTTCTTTACAAAGTTCTTATTTAACAAATTTATTTTTTCTACATTCATGCAATATTTCTTTTTTAAAATGTAAATATAGATTTGATTAATAAACATGACAATAAATTATATTAAAAAGAATAAAGGTTTTTTTCAAAAACCTTTATTCTTTTTAACCTTCAAAAAATGATCAAATATTTATGAAATTTCTTATTTCGCCTAGATTTTACATTTGATGTTTTAGTATGTTTTTCTTTTAGAACTTTTTGAAGATTAGAATTCTCAAGTACCAAAACACATCAAATTTCATTTTAAAATTTCCATATAGATTAAAAAAGGCATGAGGATTCCAATAGAATAGGGAACCTTTTTCAACATTTATACATAATTACTTAGTTGTTAGCGTTTAAAAACTTTGAGGTCGGTTCATTCAAAAAAAAAAAAAAAAAATCTTTTTCTAAAAGGTTTTCTATGAAAAAAGCAAGTATAGCTTTTCCTCTATTTAAACCAAGTATTTATTTATGTTTTCTTAAGATACGGCATTTAAAACTTTTGTTTAGAAGTTATAAATTAGGCTTTTTTATCTTTTGCTTTGAATTTTGCGCTAGAATTTTGATGTTAAGTACGAGGCATTTTTTGTAAAAAATCATCAGTTTTTCCAGCACAAAAAAGGCAATAAATTCGGATCAACTTAACTTCTAAAGTTGAAAGACCCCTCATTTTTTTACGTCTTTTCAAGCTATACAACCACGTTAATTTTATATAAGTTGAAAAAGAAATTCTGTGGAATAGTTATTAACACAACAAATAAATGTTGGTTTCACAAAATTTGGATGTTTTTTACAATGAATTAATACATTATATAACTAGAAGTGTCAATTGTGCACTTTTAATTATACAAAATATTAATTTGTTCTAAAAAACATTCCTTAGTTGGTAGCATTCGTTTGTTTGTAGCATTTATTAATTGGTAACATTTATTAGATAGCAGCATTTATTAATATTTATGTCTTTGATTAAAGAATGCTTACCAGTTTGAAAAATATGTTAAATGAAAGTGTTATTATATACCTATAATATTATATATACCATATACCTTTATTCAAAAATTCAATATCATAATGCGTTGTAATGAACTTTAAACGTACCTGAGTAAAATAATCTTTGGACCACCCAAAAATTATTTTTCTCAAGTACGTTTGAAAATATTAATGCATCCGATGCATTAGGGAGAAGAAAACTAATCATTATGTGACTTCCGCTATGTCATTCACTAAAAATCTAGTATATTCTTTAATTGCCAATTTGCTTGACTTGAAACATGTTGATATAAATGTAGTTCGTGATATGAGTTTGCAAAGTCGGTACTAAGAAACGTTTCATAACAAACAAAATCAAACATAAAAAATATAGTTCATATAACCAAGGTATTCTATTTACTGTTGGAATTTAGAACAAAGCTTTGATTGGAGGGTTTTGTGGTAATAATTGTATTGATTTGAACAATTTGCATTCACTTTTGTTTATCGTGTATTCAATTACATTTTTATAATTTGCATTCACTTTTGTTTATCGTGTATTCAATTACATTTTTATAATTTGCATTCACTTTTGTTTATCGTGTATTCAATTACATTTTTATAATTTGCATTCACTTTTGTTTATCGTGTATTCAATTACATTTTTATAATTTGCATTCACTTTTGTTTATCGTGTATTTAATTACATTTTTATAATAAAAATCTTTAGATTCCTTTTCTTAATTATTTCTTTTCAATTTTCATTGAAATACCTCTTAGATTTTGGAAAGAAGCTTTATGAAGCTTCATACACCACAATATCTTATTAATCTCAGTTGTTGTTTTAAAAAACTCAATAAGATAACCTCTTATACGTCTTGTTTCATGTTTTATGAGACTAAACTTTGTCAACCTTTCAGTATAACTTATATATTTTAGTTCAGGTGCCAATTTTGTTGCTCGTCTTTGAACTTTTGCCAGGTATCTTCAACCAAAATAATATTCGGGTAATTAAAGTCATTAACAATCATTAAATTGGAGTATTTTCATTTGACAACCTCCTTTTTTCCAATTTTCATTAACTCATTAATTGAATTGTTTACTAAGTCACTACTGATTGGTGGCCTGTATATACATCCAATTAATGTGGCTCTACTTCCACCTTGTTTATTTGCTTTACTTCCACCTTGTTTATTTGCTATACTATTATAAAAACAAATGTTGTCATATTAATAATTGAATCATGTTTAAATCATCCTTAAATTACGCTAGTAAGTGGTTACTTTTTATCTTTTTAAATTTGAGCGATAAAATTAATAATTTTATCGCTTAAATTTAAAAAGATAAATTAGTCTCCTGTTGTGACTACAGTCATTACAGTGTACTCATTTATAAACATCAATTTTAAAATTAATAACTTTGATTGCGTGACCTACGATTGTATTATGTAGTTAGCACAATGCATACTTAAAATATTGTAAGTTTACAATTTTTTAAGTGTGAATTGTACGTTATAAATTTAAGAGTCATACAAAATTAGAACTTTTAAAATTGAGGCTTTATTAAATGTTTACAATATAAACATTTTATTCCTTTGCAAATATTAATCAAAATATAAATCAATAATAAAAAAAATTTGTAGCAAAAAATATGGTGCCTAAAAAGTATAAAATATAAATAAAATCATTTATTTAGAAGTCAAAAAATATAATAGTTAACTGAAAATAATTGCAGTGATTTAGGACAACTTATTAAGTTTATTGTTAGGGTCACCATAACTCGGCAAATAATATTAAAGGGTCGCGGCATTGGAATGGTCGGGATTCGCCGCTCTAAAGCATAAAAAGAAATGTTTGTAAAAATAACAGTCTTATATAAACATTTCTTACGTTGTTTTGAAAAGTGTTTAGAAATGTCATATTTAGTCTGACGTAAAACATCTTCAAATATTTTTCTAACTCATTACTTTTTTAACGAGAAGTATTAACTGGTAATAAACAAAATATACTTTCAAAACACATAAAACGTTATGAAAAAACGACTTTGGCATTTAGTTTTCGCTTTTATTAATTGGTGAGAGGTTTTCATATTTATATATTTTGTATATATATGTATACATTTATCCATATATATATATATATATATATATATATATATATATATATATATATATATATATATATATATATATATATATATATATATATATATATATATATATATATATATATATACATAAAGTATACATAGGCGTAGACAGTTTATTTAAACTGAGGGCTATGAAGAGGAGAATACAAGCAACCTGTCTTTTAACAATAAAATTTATCAAGATTCTGTAGTAATACCTTTTTCTTATGCATAGAGCGATATAGCATGTATTAGGGGTTTCATAAATTTACTTAAAGGTGTCATATACCCTGTATTCGTAGTTGTATTGCTCACCTACAACTCATTTTAAGTTAAAAATAATAATAAATTTTAAACAACCGGAAGTTCAAGCATTTATATGAAAGATCTGTATATCTGCGGCCATATATGGGTACGTTGTATATGGGATGCAAATTGCTTAAATAGTATAAGTACGATAATATAAATTGAATAGTGTTTAGAATATTTCTATACAAGTTAAATTACTCAACGGTGTAGTAGTACCAATTTCTATTTCTCACAAAACTTCTCGTAATTACGTAAAAAATAAATCACGAAAGGTTTCTGTGGTAAATATTATAAAATATTTTTTATGGTTTGAAGTAAAATAAAAAAGTCTTCAAAAATGGCTATTAGTAACTGATATTTAACACCAGAATCTTTGGCCAGAGAATTGGTGCGAAGTTGTTTTGATGACGAATATTGTAAAGCTGAGTCTTTTTCTATGACTTACTTTTAAAAAACCACCACCACAGTTCACTCCCAAAATCTTTCAAATTATAGTCACCAGAAAGATTTCTAGTTTTAAGAACTTGCTGACAAAGTGCTTTCAAGTTTTTGCAGCGAATGACAAGTTTATCCACCTGATTTGTGCCCAGTTGAAACTGATCCAAGTTTTGACAAAATGAATTTCAAATTTTTTGATCAACTGATGAAATTTAGAGAGGAAGTTCTTTTCAAGAATCCGATTTGAAACAACATGATTTTAGGTTGACGCCAGCTTTTTTACACTAAAATTCGACAACTTCTGTATCGTAGATAAACAAAATATTTTGCTGTCAGTTCTAGTCAAACATTAAAGACTCCTTTTGCTCTTGAAGATAATTCTGAAGATAATTTTTACATTATTATTCATTACATAGAAATAAAATATGAAGCAAAAACTTTTAATATATAATACAATGTTACCTTGGAGAACTGGAATAGTATGGCCTTCTATTCCCTCAGGTCTACTAAAACAAAATGTTCCATGGGGTCCAGTTTCCTTGTTGGCAATGACTGATGCTGCAACTCTTTCGGCTGACACAGAGTACTTGAAACAACCTCTGCTAAATTCTTTCGCAAGGTAGACTTTGAGCAGTTGTGTGGGAGACCCTTGCCAACAATTGAAAAGTATTGAGAACATCTTTTTTCAACTGAGTTCTGGTTTGCTTCAAGTTTCTGAGTTAACATTACTGGATGAAGAGAATTGTGCTTTGCTTTACAAACTGAGCAAATCTAACTGAATCTCTTGTTACAAGATGGAATTTGGTAGCGGAGAAATCAAAGAGCTGTAGTTGGTTTGAAGCTTTCCCTCCTCAAGCCTCCAAAGGTTGGAGCAGCAACGCTCACAAAATCCAGTTAATACTTTTGAATCATTCAAGTCAATTGGCTGCTTCAGAATTTGTTGCACTTTTACTATTGATAAGCTTTTTAAAAAGCAATTAGCCTTGCCAAGACACAAGAAGCAATTTTAGTTTTTTTTTTAATTTTTTTGCTCAAATAACTTGTATATTCTTTTTTAAACTAAAAAAAGCAGCCTAAAAAAAGGCATTTGTTTCCTAAGACAACTTATTTAACACCACCTATCAAAATATATAAGGCGGATGAAAGTAAAATTTATAAAAAATTTTCAGGTTTCAAAATTTTTTTTTCAATCTATAAATACAATTTTAAAACAAGCTTTTCTATTAAACTTAGTAGTTCAAAAACAGGTCTTTAAAACTATTTTTGAATTCAAGTTTCATAAAGTTTTATATGTATCTATAATAGATAATCAAACTTGAACTCAAATATTTTTTATATCAAGACCTATTGTTTCTAAATTGCTGTTTTTAATAGTAGAGCTTATTGTAAAATTGTATTTATAGATTGAAAAGAAAATAATTTAAAAATGGTGGCTTTAACTGTCTTAAATTATTTCCAATGCGTAGTTCTGGCTATATGTATTCCATTATAATCCTTCTGAACAATTTCATGTCTACATTAATGATTTTCTCAACAATATTACATCTAAAGTAGCTCTTTTTGCTGACTTAACTTTATACGCCTGCCTTGACTAAAGATCTTCTCATTTTGATTGCCTAAAACAGACAGCCGGTCTTGAATCTGGTATCACTTCTATAGCAGATTGGGGCTCACAGTGGCTTGTAAATTTTAACTTCAACAGAACTCAGTTATTTACTATAAACAACTATCGCAATACTGTTGACATTCGTATATAAATAAAAGACAACCTTCTCACTGAGCCCTCTTCTTTACGTTTTCTGGGATTATCGTTTACAACAGACCTTTCATGGAAACCATATATAACCGATTGCTAAATTAGCATCCGCTAAAGTTGCCTCTCCTTACTTGCTCTATAACTCTATCCAAATTATTTAATTTAGGAAGCTTTAGAAAAACAAGTAATAAATTTTTTATATATCGTTTATCGAGGCAAAAGTAAACAAGTCTCAAATAGTCTACTCAGGGTGATGCATGTTCAAATTTACCTGAGTAAATATGTATATTTTTTGTTGGTTATTATGATTATTTAAAACTTTATTAAATAGGTGTATATATTGAATGACATGGTTGAACACACAGCAGTGTACATACATAGATTGACTTAAATAGGGATAGTGCAGCGAAATATATATATACATCTACTGATTTAAATAGGGATAAATGCAATGGAGTGAACACGATTCACTGAGGGATTTGGTTTATCAAGACACTCTGTTGTAATTACAACCAAACTTTTTCTCATATAATTATCAATATTCAACAATAGTTCATATTAATCAAATTAATTTAAAATTAATAAAATATTAATCAAGTCAAAGTACGTACACTTCAAATGAAAACATAAAAGCAAAACAAAACATATAAACTAACTTCTACCATCCAAAAGTTCGGACGTATCTTCAACTTTTTTTGTTGAAAATACGTCTAGACGTACCTGTAGCCACTGCGTTAATTTTATATTAAATTTGGGTAAATAAATTGATTATAAAAAAGTTAATATAGTAATAAGCAATCAATATAAGGTCTAACATGACATTACTCCCTGAAAAGAATAAATTTTTGTCAACTTTTTAATAATTTTATATTAACGCTATTAACGTTTTATACGCGAAAATAAAATTAAAGTTTTTAAAATGCTTATCTTAACTAAATGAATATATAATATTGGTTAAAGAGAGCTTTATTAGGCACAATAAGCACTTTTAAGGCTTTTACTTATATTTAAAGCTAAAGTTTTAAACTATTTAGAGTCTCTTAGAAATAAATCCTTAAATGTGTTTAAAATATTATTTTAAACTTTTGTCTACCAAAAATAAAAACAAACCTTAGGCATACTAAGAGTACAAATCACAGACCACAAATGATATTAAAAACAACTGTAAATTTTAAAACTAAAATATTTTTCTAACTAATTCACTCCCAAATAGGCTGCGAGCAGTGCCGGATCAAGGAGGAAGGGGGGGGGGGGCTATAGCGCCGGGCCCCGCAAATTTAGGGGCCGCCAAAAATTTTAGAGGAATTTTTTTGTTTGTTTTGTTTTAGTCATTTTTTAGCTCTGGCCCATAAAAAGGCCTCCAAAAACAAAAATAGCCCTGGGCCCAGGAAGTCTTAACCCGCCACTGGGTGCAAGCAACCACTATTGCGTTTAGAGTTGCTAAAAAATAAAGAATTTTTTTAAAAAGCAAGGAAACGGTTGAAAAATTGTAGTTTTAATGAGTCAGGAAAACATGAGAGAGAAGATGGGAGAGAGTTCCAAAGCAATAACATTAATGGAAAAAAATTAGATAAATAAAAGCTAAAAATAATAATATATAGAATAAAATACTTGGAATATTTCATACAGGAACGAGTAAGAGATTTGTGAGGTCAATATTGGAATCAGGATTAAATAATCGTGAGCACATTAATATATGATTTATATATGATTTCAACGAGAGATCAGTAGTGAATAATAATCCAAGAAGACATAAAGCAGAGGACTCAGTGAAAAGACATAAAGCGGAGGACTCAGTGATAAGGCTTCCATTTATCATTATAGGAATAGCAACAAAATTACAATAAATTCATAAGAAGACAAATAAAATAGGTGTGTTGCATTTTGTTAACTAGATTATTTCTACTTTGATAATTTGTTTTGTTTTTAAAAATGTGATAATTTTTTCATTTTACTTTGATACGCACTTAAATATTATTAAGAATTAGATTCTTTTATTTCAACCAATAAGATTTATATTTTCAAAATAAAACAATTGCTAAAAATTGAGCTTGTTTTTATCCTCTTATAGATAATTATAAATGCTTTTTTATGTATTACTGGCAATACTGCAAAATATCTGGCAACCCTGTGATAAATGTTGTTATGCTATTTCACACAAAATTGTAAAAATACTTATTATTAACATAATAATAGTAGCATTTTTACATGTTTTACACAAATAAATATGATTCTGTATAAATGTTGTCATTCATCATCAGGAAGTTCACATTTTTAATAATTTCCAGCAGTAAACAATTGAGTTATGTTTTGGTTAAAACTCATCAGTCACTGCAAGCTCCATACGAAAGTCACAAAGGAGGATCAAATTTAAAATTAGCTGCTTATTCATTAAGAATATTCTGCAAATATTACATATTAGAGAAACAGAAAATTAAAAGTTCAAACTATGAAGACACTTTTGTAAGACTATGGAAAAAATGCTGGCAAAAAAAAAAAGGAAAAAATGCTGGCAAAAAGACAGAATTGATCTGAATGTTTAACAATGAATTAACCTCTTTGGTCATTGGATTTATTTGATTTATTAGGTTTTTAGTAAATAGTTCTGCCTTATTCTTGCAAAAGATAAAAAGATCAGATCATGAGAGATTTTGATTTGATATTACTTCTTTTAATGAAACCTTTTCCCCCAAACACCTTGAGCTATAGGAATAGCAATTGTACAAGATGAAGAAAACCATGGGGTAGATTAAGAAAAAACAGCAAAAGCTTGATAACACATAAATTGACCAAAAGATCAGAACTGAAGATTAACAGAAAAGCAAATGAAAACTTTTATTTCCTGAACAAATCTTTTCTAAAGATAGATAAAAATGTTTGTTGTTTGTTACCATAGAAATGTTTGTTGTATATTCTAATATAGAAATATTTTTATTTGCCGCTAAAAGTATGAAACATTTAATTCATTTAAAAAATATTTTCATTCCTTAAAATCAAAATTTATATTGTGTATTGAAGTTATGAAATTTTCAACCCATTTTGGAGCTTTGAGACTTTCTTCATTCCTGTTATATCGTAAAAAGTCATACTTAAACATAAAGACACTAACTTTAATAATGATTCTATAGTGATTAAATATTTTATCAAAATCATCAAAATAAAATAAAAAAGAATTAAAATAATAATAATCAGTTATATATATATATATATATATATATATATATATATATATATATATATATATATATATATATATATATATATATATATATATATATATATATATATATATATATATTAATGCAGTTAGTAAATTGATTGTTGAGATTGTTTTCGTTTTAATTTCTTCTTTATTTTTTTTTATCTGCTGTATTTTTTAATTATAATAACGGGGTTGGATAACACTAGCTCTGGTCAAAAATTTTATGCATTATATTTTATATTGTATTAACATTACAAAGGATATTTTAGAATAACTTAGACAAAATAAATAAATAAATAAAAAAAGCTGAAATTTTTTTAATATAACTTTTCTGTTTTTAGTTATTCAGTGGAAACTTTAACAAAAAATGAAGGTATATTTATATTTTTTACTATATATAACTATATACAGTGCCGCGGCTACTGGGTCCTAGAACCATCAAAACCTGTCATTAGGGCCCAAAAATCTATTTATTAGCTATTACTTTGCAAAAGGGCCCTAAATATGCAAATGAGCTACCTAAGTTTATGCAGCCCCCCAAATTGGGGTGTTGAAGAGCCTTGCCAAGGCTCTGACTATATATAACTGTATATATATAACTATATATCTCTCTATCTCTCTCTCTCTTTCTCTCTCTCTCTCTCTCTCTCTCTCTCTCTCTATATATATATATATATATATATATATATATATATATATATATATATATATATATATATATGTATATATATATATATATATATATATATATATATATATATATATATATATATATATATATATATATATATATATATATATATATATATATATATATATATATATATATATATATATATATACAACCATTAGTAAAACAAAAAAACAAAAAACCGTTTCTGTGAAAATAAGTTTTTTTGGCATTTTAAATCTTAAATACATTGGCTTTCAAAATAAAGTGAAAAAAATTACTATATAAACTAGTGGTGCGCCGATGCGTCAGCATCGTCCTGCCAATGCATCAACTACATAGCCGATGCATCGGCATCGATTTTGGAAACCATCGGCCAATGCCGATTGTTTTGGAAAATCAGGTTTTTTACTTTTATGTTTCTATATTGCATGCAAAAATATAATTATTTCCTAAACTAAAAAGCATGTATGAGCCTAAGATATTTTTTGAACTGTTTTACATTAAGAAAAATTGCATTAAGCAATTTTTAACAAATAAGCAAACATTATACCTTTAACATATTTAAAATTTTCAAAGAGCAACACTTCAAAGAGCTTTCTTTAAACAAAAAATAGTAACCATAACAATAAATTAATGAATAATGTATTCGCCGTTACTGTTTACAACTTCATTCCACCTCTCGATCAATTTGTTAATGCCGTTCCGCCAAAAATTGCCTTGTTTGGTGTCGAAGAAGTTGTTGAGTCAGTTTTTGAGGTCCTCTTTGCCATCGAAGTTAACACCCCTCATTTGATTTGACAAGGAGCGGAAAAGATAATTATCTGTTGGCGCAAGGTCCGAAGAGTACGGTGGATGTTGAAGAACCTCCCCTTCGAACTTTTGGATTGCGGTTTTGAAGACTTGTGCAACATGGGGTCTGGCGTTATCGTGGAGCAAGATAACTTGGCCTTGTCGATCAGGTCTTTTCAGTCGTGTAACCTCATTTACGCGACGTAGTTGGGCAATGTAGAGCTCCTTGTTGGCTGTTGCGTTTGTTTCAAGCATTTCTCAGTGTATCATGCTTTCCCAGTCCCACCAAACGCAGATCATGATCTTTTTCTGGTGGAGATCTTGCTTGTCGGCGTTTCTACTGGGGCCACTTACTCCTTTCTTTGTTTCATATTGAAGTACAGGCACCATTTCTTATCTCCCGTGACAATTAAGTACAAAAAGCATTGTTTATGGCCGTGTGTTGCTTGATAGCGAGCAAAATGTTAAGCAGCAATTTGGAGACGATTTTCTTTGTTGACTTCGTTAAGCTTGTGAGGCACCCAGGCTCCAAGTTTTTCAGCAAATCCTATTGAATGAAGATGATTGAGAATCGTCTTATGATAGCAGTTCATTTTTTTGGCTAATTCACAACTTGTTTGGCGACCACCTTTTTTCAAAAGTGCCTTATAATGCTCCTCGTCGAATTCCGTGGGTCGCCCGCTGCGAGGTATGTCTTCGAGATCAAAGTCACAGTTTTTGAATTTCGCAAGCCATTTCTGTGCTGCGCACTCACTTATGACACCTTCTCCATACACGTTACATATGTCGCAAGCGGATTCAGCTGCTTTTTGACCGCGATGAGAAGCGAAGAAAAGTAGTGTCATAAATGCTGATTTTTGCCACATGGATATTCCATTTTTTCAAGGTGGAAAATAGGTAAAACTAAAAATATTTGAATAAACAAATATCACATTTCTGTAGAGCAGAAAAAACACTGTCTAATAATTACACTTTGCTCAACAACAAACAAATCCTTTAAATAATCTTCTTTGAAAAAAACCAAACAAACCTATTCCCCAACCCAATACAAATTCGAATTTAGAGCCGATGCATTGGCATCGGTCAAAAGTAGGCATCGGTCCACCCCTAATTTTAAACCTATTTTTTACATTATGTAATTATCAAATAGTATCTGATTAAATGTATGGCATGGTCTTTAATTTTCTGCACAATAAATTTATTCAAAATGACTTTTTTTATATGCAATATTAAAATTCATAATTAATTCAGATTCAAAATATATTCTTTTAGTCAAATACTCTTCAACATTTTTATATGCAATATTAAAATTCATAATTACTAATAGCATTTAAGAATTAAAATCTTAAAATATTATTAAAAACCAAAAGCAACGATTTTCTGCTAATTTAATAAATCAAGTTATGGTAGAAGTTCTTTAAAGATGTTTACTGTTTAGATTAGTTGCTCAGCATAAAACTCTCTTTTTGTATCTGGATGATTATTGTTTTATTTATACCTTGACCAATCTTTATATGAAAAGCTTGATGAGCAGTTTCGACAATTTGTTCACTATAGGGTCCCAAGGGGATATTTTTTGACTAAAATTTTTTTTGATGTGGTAGAAAATGCTGTGAATTTTGAATGTTACATTTGCACCAGATATCAATAAGTAACACCTTTTAAAGTTTTCAACTATTTAAGCAAAATCCGGCTGAAGGATAAATCTAAAGCAAGCTTTTACAACTAAATTAAAACTTTTGAATGCTTCAATTATGTGAAGAATGTTGGCAACCGAGTTTGTATCAGCAAGTTGCTGGAGCACATCTACATTTTAAGAAGCTTCTTGCATTCATGTCCCTTAAACTAGCCCCCATAATACGGGCTTAGTTGAATCTGGAAGGCAGCCGGCTACTTAACAGCTTCTATCAAAGCAGTTTTAAGTATCTTGAAAAGATGATTGATAAATCCTATAAGGAAATATAATTTCATCTGTTGGGTTATTTCCAAAATCAGAAAATTGTTAGGTCAATTGATAATTAGATTTCGAATAACATAACCAAACAACTTCGCACAATCAACAACCCCGCCAGATTACTGAAAAAACTTGAGACTATATTTGAATGAGCCCAGTGTTCGTGAATTTTCAGATTTAGCAAGGCACTTGGATTTGACGCCACACCATGTACCAAGTTGCATACTTGAATGGTTTTAAAGACTAAAAATTATATTTGCAACTTTCATATTGAAAACCAAAATTAGTTTAATTCTATTTGCATTAATCAGTGACCAGATTTGATCATTGTTGGAGTGAGTGTCTTGCAAATCTTCAGATTCCGCAATTAGAATTTATCTCTTAACTCTTTTTTTATCTCTTATTGTCTTTTCAAATCATTTGAGTGAGCGGTTGTTTTTGTGAAGGTAAGTCTAAACGAAGTATCAGCAATGCTTGGACAAAAATTTGAGAAAATTTTTCATTTTGTTTACAAAACCCTCTTTTGGGGATTATGTTCAAAACAAGGCCCATTTTGAATAATATGTGGCTAAAAAATTTATATTTTTCATTTATCCATAGCTATATTAATTACTGTAAAATAACTTGGGCAAGTAATCAGTTGTCTTGATTAAAAAAAAATTATTGCAAACAAAAGCAAGCGACTTGGTTAATTTTTAATGCAAACAGAAATGCATATGCCAAGTCTATACTAAAAGAAATTAATGCTTTAAATGTATACGAACTAATTATTTATTTTTGTTTAAACTTCACAATATAACATGCTTTCGTCTTATTTTCAGACACATTTTTCTTAATTAATCACAGATACTTAACAAGACATTCCATTAACAATTTTTAAATTGCATCAACAACACTTAAAAAATCGGACTACTCAATTCCTTGTCGGGGTCCACGTCTGTGGAACTAGATTCTAAAAAATAAAGTCTATAACCACAATTAAAGCATTTAAATAAAAGTGAAACAACATTTGTTAAATTTAACCAACATAAACATTTTTTTGTTTTTTTAACTCTTTTTGTTATGTATTTATTTATCTTATTATATTTTTGCTAATATGTAACACATACATATACATTGTATGCAGGGCCGTCTCGAAGAGATTTTAAAGCAGAGAAGGTTGGGGGTGACTTTTCATTTTTTTGCCGACTAAGGCTAAAAAAATATTATTGCCCACAAACTTATCTTTAAAAGGAAAAAAAAAATTCTTCGTTTTCCGACTAATAATATTCGTAGGGGGGCTAGACTCCCCCTTCGCCTCCCTCCGTCGGACGGCCCTGATTGTATGTGTATGTTTAACTCATAAATATGTAAAAACTAATTTTATAGATGACTTTCCGTCCAACGTAACATCTTTTTGTAAGCAACATACTTTTTAGCAGAAAACTTTAAAACTTAAACATTCATACGTTAAACATTCATACTATAAATACACTTTTAAAGTTTTTTGCATTTCTTTTATACCCTTAGATTAAATTTTGTTTTCATTTTGAAAAATGATTGAAATAATTAGTTACATAAAAAATGTAACTAATTACATAAAAAATGTAACTAATTACATAAAAAATGTAACCAATTACATAAATAACTAGTTACATTGTTTTTAATATTGTAAAAATAAAGGTTTTTATTATTTTTATAAACTTTGATTGCTCTTAAAAACTTTTATGTATATGCTTTATGTTTTTCTGCAAATTTTATATTCAGATTATTCTCGTACAACAACAACAGCAAAAATACATATAAGCTTTTTCACTTCATATTGCTTTATTAAAACCTTTTGAAATTCAATAAATAACAAAAGCACTTTTGAAGCAAGTTTATGTTTTTGGATAAAAGTAAACGGCTATGTGAGACTTTTTATTGCTTTGTATGTTAAAGTTTTGATAAATTTTCATCGGAAAGTCAGGAAAAAAGT